TGCTTGTCCCACCTTAGAATAAACAAAATAACATGGTGTAATCATGCACTGGTCTTACACAGAGCTCTATTCAATAATAAAACATCTTAAGATAAGACTGGCTCTATGCTTCAGTTAATCACTTACAGTACTCCTTAGATGTTAAACAGTGAAGCACCCATTGTTTTAGCTCACACACAGGGTCAACCAGAGGACAACTCATTAGATATTCAAAGTGCCATCTCTTGGAAAATAAGGTGCACTACCACCTTTTCACCACTTGCTCAATAGCGGTGTCCTTTATATCTACTAATATGTACAGTCTATGGTTTCCTTCCTTACTACTAAAAGCACGTACAATAGGTCTGAGTGTAATGAATGTGTGAGTGAATGGTCAGGGGAGTATTTGGCATCTCGCTTCTGTCATCACCATGTGAGTGAATGGAAAAATATTGGTACACCAAGAACAAAGTAAGTCGCTTTGTGTTACTTTGTTCAGTGAAATGTGCTATTTGAAAAATATGAAGAAATTAAGAAAAGAAAAGAATACTTTCTTACTTACTGCTTTCACACTGTGTCCCTCACATAACGTCTGGTATATTGCAGTTTTTTATAGCTTCCTTTCAACAATGGCTTTCTTCTTGCCGCTCCATAAAGGCCAGATTTGTGTAGACTGTAGGATATGACTAATAGTTCACCCATGTACAGATTCCCCCAGCTCAACTTCAGAGGAGTCGCAGTACACAATTGCTTTTCTGATCAATGCTTTGCTGCCCTTGTTTGGGTAGTTTAGGTTGACGGCCGAGTCTTGGTACATTTGTTGTGTTGCCATACTGTACACTGCTCCATGAAATACTCAAAGCATCGGGAATTACGGTCTGTATAGTCTCTGTTTAACTTTATCCCTGACCTCTGTGGTGCGATCCTTGGACTTCAAGATACAGATTAGTGACCAATACACTCAAACCAAAGCTCTGAGGCCATCCCAGAACAGATGTAGCCTAATTATACTGTAAATAGAAACAAATTAGAAAACACAAACACAACATTATCTTTGATCTTGTTGGACATGAGCATTTTTTTCTCATTCTTAATGAGACATGTAATCTTTTTGATAATTTATAGATGTCACCATGTGGTCTGACTATAAGAATGTTGTGAGAAAACATAAAACCATTTTGACAATAATTGTTTATTATCATATGTTAGTCAATTATATTAATGTCTAGGATGGACCTGAGGCTTTATACACTTTTTCAAATACAACTCTCTTTAACAACAAATAGGTTGTTAGTTTTACTCTGATCAAAATGAAAAATTTTCAATATCAACATCAAGGGTTAGAGTTACTCAGCCACTGTATCTTATTTCATTGCCATCTCACTTTTATCTTTAAGCAGATTGTGTCCTTGTTATGTTAAGGTTTGTGTTGCCTTTACCTATGCAGACATTTTAGCCAAAAAGAGAAAATAAGTGTTTACTACAGTATATGCTGTGCACATAGAACCCAATGCAGCATGGCCTTGTCATTGCAAGACACATGTTCATGACACAAAGCAGTGAACGTTCTCATTATGCAGGAGGCTGAACCACCGTGCAACAGTAATTATGACTAATTCATCAGTTTTCTGCATCTTTGAACTTCATGTCTGAGGTTTGAGGTATTCAAGAATACTTTGCAAATGTATTTAGTTACAGGCTACACGGGCGGCACGGTGGCTGAGTGGATAGCACTTCCGCTTCTCAGCAAGAAGGTCCTGGGTTCGAATCCTGGTCGGAACAGGGCCTTTCTGGGTAGAGTTTGCATGTTCTCCCTGTGTCTGCGTAGGTTTCTTCCGGGTGCTCCGGTTTTCAAAACATGTGCAATAGGTCTGGCATGCGCCTCCTATACTGGCGACCTCACTCCCACCTCTGTGTGGCGTGAGAGACAAATGCCCACAATTGTAAACCGCTTTGTGACTCTGTGGTCTGTGAAAGGTGGAATATAAATGAAGATGACCTACTTACTTATTGAATACCTGCATTTTTGAATGTATTCTCTTACATGGTCCAATCAATACTGTATTTAAAACACGATCAGCTCATTTGCATTCTATTGTAATATACACATTTTGTCTTATTAAACACCTGCTCAGTCTGAGCCGAGGATGACAGGAGAACACATCACCCAGAGTAACTTTTGGGTCCCATTTGTATTTCATGCTAAAACGTCTTTGAGGTCATTTTAGATCCTGTGTCAAAATTCAAATGGATCTGTTGATAGTCTGTCGTTTGGGAAGAACAAAGTAGACGGTATGCCAAAATCAGAATCCATTAATATGTGTTAATTTTTTGTATTAAACTATAAAACACATTTTCACATTTGAAAGGAACTGTGTCCTGATTCTATGTTAGGAACTGTATTACATTAGCAATGGTACGAGCCAGAGGCTCAACACAGGGGTGTGCTCTTAGTCCTCTACTGTTTATTCTTTTCCTGGGGAAAATTATTTGTCGATCTAATAATTTCACTCTGTTTCAACTTTAGGGCGCAAGTCACTACATTTCCTGTTTTTTCTTTGTACTGTAAGTGGAAGATGTTCAGTAAATTCCTATTTTGGTCTTAATATACAAATGATCTGAGTACAGGACTTTTTTTTTACCACGTTTTACCACCGTGCGGCCTTGGTCCTTGTGCTGTAGCCTGAGTCCTGGATCTATAGCCTTTCCGTCAGTGGGAGCAGATCCCTCTCAATGTGGACCTCCCCGAGGTTTCTCCTTTTTCCCACTGGGTTTAGAGTTTTTACTTGCCGATGCAGGAGGGTCCGTTATGTGAGGGTTTAAAAGGACAGTGGTGATGATCCAGGACAATCAACATTTAACAACATTAATGGAAATGTATCACCACTTATGGACATTGGTAATCTGCCCCTTATGGACAAATATCAATGTGTTTTCTGTTCTATTTCTTGTGTTCGAACTTTTTGATTCTCTGATCTGTGTTGGCACATTGAACAGTTTTGTGAAGTCCTCCAAGATAACTACTGTTGTGATGTAGAGCTATACAAGAATAAATTAAATTGAATCGAATTGAATCTTTTGGGGGATGAGAGATGGAGGACAAACATTCCAAACCTGTGGACTTTGATAAACTGTAATTTATCCATTATTCCTTAAAACAACATGGGTTATAATCAAATCTATCTGAACCGTTTACATTATTTGACATCCTAAGAAATTGTAAGAAATGAATATGTACTTTTTGTAACTAGTTATAAAAGTTACCAGTGGAATCTTCTTAATCCATTTTGCATGACTCAGACTATTTAAGAAAAGTACATTTCATTTTACGATGCTGAGAAGCACTGAGGCGTGACGCACTTTATCAGGATTATTAGCAGGAGGTAGACCACACAAATGCTTTTATAATGGTGCCAGAGCCGGGAGAGGGTAAACCCGTCTGCACCAGTTCAGCAATTTCCATGTCTCCTTTCTCCACATCCTTCCATAAGGTCACTAACTTTTAAAGTTCAATAAAACCTCATTTCTAATGCCCACGTTATGTTGAGTCAAATGTTCAGTGTATCTCATCTAAAACGGAAAAAAGTTTACCTTAACAAATCATTGTATGAGCCTCCTCATCATTAAAAATGATGAGGAGGCTTATACAGTGATTGGTTAGTAAGATGTTAAAAGAACAAACAAAAAAAGTCTTTTTAAGGATTGGTCATTTGGCGATAAAATCATTACCTATTCCACAGGTTAAAGAATGGATGGTGTTTGGTCCACTTACCCCTCATTTTACCCTAAAATTTAACGTGAATGATCCATAAACAGCTTTGAGTCTTGATCATTACAGCAAAAGTGATGAATCATGATTTTGACAGGAAGTCTCGTCCTGGTTTGCTAATTCTTCTTGTCTGAGTGGTGGAGCCCTGTCCTGTCCAAAAGACGTTTAGAGCCGGATATGAGCTGCTGCCTCCCTCTGAGAGCAAAATAGATGATAGAGGTTCACAAGAAACGAGTTCTGTGTTGCAGGATTTTGTGATTAGTAAATCTGACCTTGGTGCAGCTCTGCTTCTTTGAGAGGCTTAATGAAAAGCAATCTCAGAGTGAGATCCATCTGCCCTATCTTTATACAATTACAGTACCTGAATCTTTGTGTACAACACAGACACATACTCTGGTATTGTTCATAACCAGCCCTGTCAATTCCATCAAAATGATATATTGTTACTGAAAAGCAAACCAACTCTAAAATGCAATCAAACAAAAAGTCAACTCACTTTTGTTTGATTTTTGTGTAAAAAGAAATAGATACATATTATGATAAATAAAAAATAATTATCCAAAACCTGAATGTTCAAATATTTCACTTTGTCTGATTAATTGGAACCAGGGTCGTGATTAAACTTTTTATTTTTTAGTGTAATAACTGACTATTTTAGTCAGATGACGTTGTGGTGGCGAGAGAGACTCGAGAAGCAACGCTCTCACTTTACCGGTCTTCTACTGGTGTTCTATGTTTTCCCCCCTCACCTAGGATCATGAGATTTGGGTAATGACAGAAAGGACAAGATTGCAAATATAAGCGGTCGACAATTCATGGATGGGCGCTGATTAGAGATAGGGTGAGATGCTCAGAGTAGTGTCTGCTTCAGCCACATCTGCCTTTAGGGTAGACTGACAAAAGCAAGACTCCTATTCTGTCCTCTCTGACCAACAATTATTATTCACACACACCCCAGCCTCATACTAGGCAATGTGGGTCAAGTGTCTTGCCTAAGAACACAACAACTGTTTAGTAGTTTACAAATGCTGTCATGATGACCTAATGATAACAACATGGCCCACTGCCCTCGCCTGATCCAGTTTGTGAAGAGAAGCGCCCTCTAGTGGCGGTGTCTGGTTCCTCCTCAGTCACCTACTTCCCAGCAGGGGCACCAAATACAACACACTTGCCTTGCCTGCTAGCTCGTTAGCGGTGCAGCTCCAGACAACGTTATTTTTCTCCGCTGGTACTTCGCCTTTGGGAGATCGACATGCCCGCGGTGTCGAAAGGCGACGGGATGCGTGGCCTGGCCGTCTTCATATCTGACATCAGGAACTGTAAGTTTGTTTGTATTTCTTCACACACTTTTCTCCCCGTCTGTCTTGATAAGTTACTTTGCATATTTGTGGCATGGATTTACACGCCGTAAGAGTTCAGTGAGCACATGCACAGTGAACGGTTGTTGTTAAAGTCAAGTTTAAGTGATAAAATGTGACACATATTTTGACAGCCCACACAGCTGTTTAGCCGAGCACAGCACTTTAAGCTAACTACTGCTAGCCTCTGATGCTAACGTCATGTGGAAGGGCGTGGACCGCTTTCTCAATGAAGATAACATTTAACTGTCGATTTGGAAATTAAGGAAACATATTGAGTTTGGGTGAATTTAATACTTTTTTGGTTTGAATACTTTACTGAAGTGATATGTCTGAGAAAAAGGTAGACTTAGAGGAGGTAAACAACCAGCTCTGTGATCTACACCTGCCATCTGCAGCAAATTATTCATGTTTTTTGTCTCCCACCCTTTTTCTTTCCCTGTACATTACTTAATCTAATGACTAAAAAACTACAATAATAATAATCACTAACTAGTCAAGGTAATTAAGCAGTACTAGCTTTATTTACTTTCTTTAACCTTTTAAATCCACTAACTAATTGATTAATTACAGCTAATTGGGGTTTTTTCAATAATGTTAAATATTTAAGTAATTTATTAATTGTTAACTGCTCTTTATGCACACTTGGTATTAAAACACAAACAGGGAAGTAATTGTATAGTTGTCTTGTGTTTGATTATGGTCAGTTCTGGGCAATAAGAGACTTGGATAAAATACATGTTTTGTGAATGTTTCCTTATTGCTTTGGTTTTGTTTGTTTGTATCATAAGTGTTGGTTATAGCATTTTGAATTCCCTTGGCTATTAGCAGCATAAACATACCCTGTTGTTTCTTCTCTATACTCCATCATGAGAATATATGGATAAGATAAACCCATAACACTCTGTACACACTGATTTCTTTGTATCTCTGTGTCCTTCAGATCCTTCAGGCACTTTTAATTCTGTGTTTATTGTATGTTTTTACACCAGGCAGTAATAATGTATTCTAACTAATCTCCTGTAATGACTGCTTGAGGCTCCCAAGCTGTTTGTCTTTACTACAAGCCATTCATTTTCTTTGTACCGTAAACATGTTGCATGAAGAAAGCATTACGTGTCTTATTGTACATGGTATCAGTGGCTCAGATGATTTGGATGTCTTTCACAAAGCTGTCCTTTTAGCCTTGTGAATTTGTCTTAATCAAATATATTTAGTTAAATATGACACCATTCACATTTCTTGCTTCAAGGGAAAGAGCATTTCAAATTATTGTATCATATCTTTACCATGTGAAATTAATTGTATCTTTTTTACCAGGTAAAAGCAAGGAAGCAGAGATCAAGAGAATAAACAAAGAACTTGCCAATATCCGTTCAAAGTTTAAAGGTAAGTGTGTGTCAGACATTATTATTATTATTATCAATAGTATTAGCCTATAGAACAATTTGAAATATTTATGATATATGATCATTTTTAATGTACATGGCTTTGATATGGTGCTCTGTGTTGTTTTTAAAAGTTCAAATGCTTCGCTCCTGGGTCTCTGGCACCTGTTACAACTAAAATTAGTTTGCAGTCCTCTTCCCATTGCACTGGGCATTCAGATCTCCCTTATCCTTTTCTTTATTACACCTAAGCCTCAATTTCCTTTGCTGTGGCCTATATTTTCACCAAATAAGTGCCTGGATAGTTGGAGCATGAATGTCCCTGTGTTATATATGTGGTTGTGGTGGTGAGTCAGTTCAAGGCTTCAGTTCAAGGCAAACAAACGTCCTTCCTGACTTCAACTCTTTAGTTGTACCAAAACCAGTGGGGGCTGGTCCCGGCTCAAAAATGTCCAAAATGACGTGCGCCGACATGCTTGCAGTACCACTCCGGGCCGATAGCGGTGAACTCGGAATAAGAATTATTCAATGCTAATGTATGTATCTTCTTACCTCTCGAAAACGGGTTTACAGGATGGTCCAAAAGTTGGCTCTTTGCCCAACGCGGCGTTCCACATGTGTGTCAATGCTGAGGGGAGTGTTTTTTGGACCAGTCTAGTTTAGCCGCTGTGAAATTTTGAAAGCACTCGTTATATGAATGGGGCTAATGGGGAACATTTTCCATCCCCCGCGGCCATTTTGAAACTGCCCATAGACCAGCAAAAGTTGTGGCACATTAGTTTGCCATCGGTGGAGATAGGTCAGGGATTAAAGAGTTCCGTCTAGGTGACGGATTTCCGTCAAATGAAATTGGTCGAGAAAAAAAAAAAAAATATATATAATGATAATAATACACAATGAAATGATTGATTATAAAAATAATATATAGTAATACATATACGTGTGAATCTGTTATATTATATATATCGATGTATAATAATAATTTGAATATAATTGTATTTATATGTATATAGAAATAATAAGTAATATAATCACGAGTGGGCCTTGAACGTGCCGTGGCCACATGAGCGCTCCGCAAATGAATCAAGGCAATGGGACGTAGCTGAGCTCACGCGCAAATGAAGACGCGATGAAGTTAGCATTGGTAACACGGAGGTGAAAGTTTCTGGAAACTGCACGGAGCTTTTGAAAAGGAGAAGAGGAGGAAAATTGAATCTCGAACGGAGCAATAACAGCAGCAGATCCGCGGACTGGTAAGCTGGGCGCGTAATAGAGGAAAGGTAATTAACGTTTACCAAACGCAATGCTATTTTACTTAACGGAATGTACAAAACGGACTTTGCTGCAACTGGGAATGGGGACAAACATGTCTTGGTGAGCTTTTGATATTGTCTTGTTTGCGATCTTCTTGCAAAACTCAGCGTGATGTAAAAGAGCCAATCAATGAGTCATGGTGCGAAAAGATGAAAGTGGCCGGTGCTTGTGCGTACTTTGCCATAAAAAATTGCATGTATGGGAGTAATGAGAAAAAAGTTTTGATTCGCCACCAGCTCAAAACTGCGCACAAGGCAGCTGTTTGTGCACTTTCCCACACTTCATCTTTACCTGGTGCATCAGCAACAACTGACACTAGGCTTGCTATGGCAGACCGTGTCTGTGGCTTTATCGCAGAAAATAACGTTCAGAATATCACTACCGCTGGTAGATTTATTTAAATCATTTGCAGTTGATTGAAGTGCACTGTGCACTCAAACTTGATAGGGAAACCTTTTTCTTAAATATTGACGTGTCCACAAACAAATGTGGACAGAATGTTATCGTCCTTTTGCAATATTTTGACGAGGACGGAGCCAAAGTGTTGACGCTCCATATCGCCTCAAGTAAAGCTACTCTCGCTAATATTCTGTCAAAAAGTTTACTCGTTGCTTGATCCACTTATATTTCATATCAAAATACACTGTATATCTTTGAAGAATTCATTTGCGCTGTATTCAATATACAATCTATTATACAATAATATATTGTAATTACAAATATAACTTGGTCCTGCATATTACTGTGATTTACATGTGATAAATTTCCATGCGAAAATTTTCAGTCAAATCTTTTTTTTTTGCTTTAACCCTTGAGATAGGTCCGTTAATATTTACAGTCTATGACCAAAACTGCAGATTCTGATCTTAAACTACTTGATTGTGCGTACAAATACACACATGGAATGTCTTTAGAATGTATTCGTTCTGGGGAAGTTAATCTCATTCCTTAATGTATATTTCCTTCTTTCTTGTCTAATATGTGTGACTGTAGATATTGCTGTTTGATATACAAATTATAAAAATGCAAGAAGTACTGAATCATCACATTCGCACATAGTTTGGCAATTGATTGCATAATATTTCCTCTTCACAAAATATGTACTTATTGGAAGCGGCTACTAATTCTCAGCCCAAATTTATAAAAGCAATTGACCATGATGATATTTGATCTTCTTATTAGATAAACATCCAACAGCCCTCAATTTGTGGGACGAATAAAGAATCTAAGGGCTCACTGTGGGGAACTTTCAGTGTTGCATCTCCAGTTACAGAACAGTAGGAATGAGTAGCACACTGCACAAGATAAATGAACAATAGTTCTATACTAAATACATACAATAAAATTGTCTTACTCTAGCATGATATGATATATCTAGATATGTTATATGCAGTTCTTATGTATTATGCAGTAAAGTGTAATTGAAACACTGTTCTCTCCCCGCAAAAATATTTTGTAATTCTCCCTTCAATACAAAATACAACTACCATCAGGCAATGTGTATGTGCACTTCAGAAAACTTGGTTCTTTACGGATGTGTTTCATTCACTTTGTTCTTTCTTTTTTTTAAACAGGAGACAAGGCTCTGGATGGCTACAGTAAGAAAAAATATGTGTGCAAGCTGCTTTTCATCTTCCTCCTTGGCCATGACATTGACTTTGGACACATGGAAGCTGTCAACCTGCTCAGCTCGAACAAGTACACAGAAAAGCAAATAGTAAGCGGCCTCATCCATCACACAGTACTCGATGTCAAAAAGGGTTGGATTGTTTGATAATTATACCTCGTAATTCCAGGGTTATCTTTTCATCTCTGTGCTGGTAAACTCCAATAGTGACTTGATCCGCCTTATTAATAACGCCATTAAGAATGACCTGGGCAGCCGTAACCCCACCTTCATGAACCTGGCTCTCCACTGCATCGCTAATGTGGGAAGCAGGGAAATGGCCGAGGCTTTTGTTTCAGATATTCCACGGATTTTAGTAGCAGGGTGAGTGCGCGCAAGAAAGAAAATCCACTCGAAATGATGAATGTTTATGGAATCTTGAACGGAACACTGTTTTTAATCAGGGACACGATGGACAGTGTGAAGCAGAGTGCAGCTTTGTGCCTTCTCCGACTCAACAGGACGTCCCCTGACCTGGTGCCTATGGGGGAGTGGACAGCACGCGTGGTCCATCTATTAAACGATCAACATTTGGTAAGTCTGTGAAATCCGCAAAACATTTGAATTGGAAATGTCTTATTTCATGCCACGGCGATCAAAGATGGCAGCGTATTCCAATCAAAAGCTTGTGCTCAGTGGCGCATGAAGCTACCATAGGCACCTAAAGATTAGCAGAGCCCAGCTGATCAGAGCAGAGCTTGAGCGGGAGGAAAACGAGCAGAGTTTGTTCCACTAAAGTGTGGATTTATAGAAAACCGATGGATTAAACAAGAAAAAAAAGTTCAGGATGACAAGGGACACTAAAATCCCCATAAAAACTGACCTTTATGAAACCTGGTTCTCTGTCAGCTGAGATCAAACTGTTATAGTTTACATTGAGTTCTATGGGGAAAATGTTTGGGTAGTTCACGTGAATAGTGTCTTATTTAATCCGCAGTACCATGAGAAGCCCCTGTGACCATGGGTCCTTCAGCTTATAAACTAGTAATACCCCATCTTATTATTATTATTATTATTATTATAGATCAATGGAAATAGCCCTGTAAGTCTCTATTTGATGCTTTGGGCTGAGAATTGACTAGCTTTTTCCTGGTGGTCGCATTTTTAGATCAAACTTTTTCATGGGCCAAAAATGCATCAATTGACTTATGAAAAAGTAATTTAAAATGCTTGTTTCTTAACCCGTAGATAGGAGAATACAGTAAACCACAGTTGTTATTGTTTGTTGCAATACATAGAAAAGATCTTATTGTAAACTCGTGTTTAGGAATATCAATCTTTAGTTGTTTTAGTTATTTGATTGATGGTTTCTTAGTAAAATTTTTCAAGTTTGAATCACAGACATTTTTATTCACTCCCTTCATCAATCTTGTTAATTGCTAATATTTCACTGCTTTATGCCTACATGGCCTTTTCTCATAAAAAATAAGTCTAATTTCTTCAGTTTTGGTCAGATTATGTATTTATTATTTTAAGTACCCATTTTTGACTAATCGCCTGGGCCTGTGTTTTGTCGGCTAAGAATTTGATCAACTACAACCTTACTTGTGATAATGGTCTACATAATTATACAGTAAATGTTGTACATGTGTATGTGGTTGTAATGGTTCAGTAATGATTGCTCTGTGGTACTGGTACTACAAATATGTCCTCGACATCACTCGCAATTTGAGTTGTAACTATTTGTCCACAATTTTTTTTCCCTAGATATATAAATTAGTTAACCTTGCCTGCAAGCTGAATTCTCGCGGTATTTGCGAGTTCACAAACACTCGAGAATACATCTTGTACCGCTCCCGCTTACACTTTTCGAGTCGAACCACTGGGTGTGCGAGCCAATCACGCGCCAGTCTGGGGGTTTAGGGCGGGATATCCGGGTTTGACGAAAGCAAGAAGTGCCGGGCCGAAGCAAAACAAACATGGCTACGCAGGAGGACGGACGCAAAGTCAGTTTTAGCAGAATCTCCAATTTCTTTTTTGAAAGATGAACAGCGAGAGGCGCTTTGTACATTTCTGGACGGCAACCTTGGTAGGCGGGCACACAGCGTCACTTCGCCCAATCAGCTTCAAGTATTCTGCTGCTTACCCCTCCTTTCCCCGAAAGGATTCTCCGGGAGAAATCCCAGATTGATATCGCGGAGAACGCGTTAGAGTTCTACACAATCATCAATCTGGCTTTTGCCAGGTTATAAATTAGTCATGCATAAATTACAAATGCTGAAGCTCTTGGGGAAACAAAGACGGACTCATTTTTAGTTCTGCTCTGACTTTGTTAATCCTCCAGCATATTTAGAAAGATTAACATCAGAAAAGTCACATTGCTGAAGTTACTTTCATTTCCCCCGTCTATAGCAATAAGCTCATACAGTTCAAGGCTGGCCATACTTCTGAGTTGCAATAATAACTCTCCAACCTTTTATCAACATGACACATCCTCCTATGCTGTGTGCAGGGAGTCTAAAGTAGTCACAAGAGTAATGGAAATTTCACTCTGTTCATGTCAGTCAATAAAGAAATAAATACAGTGTTGGTCTGCCAGACGTACAGTAAATTCAAGCTTGTTAGTATTGAAACCATTATGCCTTAGAGCTGACATGGACAAAGTGCGGCCCAGGGGCCACATCCGGCCTGATCCATGTTTCTATGCGGCCCCCAGACCCTTCCCAGTTGGTAACCTCATACCAGTCTGTTGCTTTTTTTTATATTTTTTTCAAAAGTCCATACTCTGTGAAGGCTTGTAAATGTACAACCAGGACATGTCATACATTTATTCTGTTCTCATTAATGAATCCAAAATGTTTTTAATAATACTAATAGTAGAAATAAAAACGATAATGGTAGTAGTAAAAAGAAAATAATGTCTCTCCCCTGCCTTAGAGCTTGTATACATGCATCACTATTATTTCAATCATGTTTCAATGTTACCGTTGAACTAGTGTCTGTGTGTGATTATTTCAGGGAGTGGTAACAGCAGCCACAAGCCTCATAACCACTTTGGCACAGAAGAGCCCCGATGACTTCAAAACCTCCATCTCGTTGGCCGTGACTCGCCTCAGTAGAGTATGTTGTTTATCCATTAGCTCTTTGAAAAAAATGGAGATGACTCTGCACAGATTTTGCTCCCAAGAGATTGTAATTCTCACCACACAATGTGACGTTCATGTCTGATGAAGGGTAGTGACCCGAAACGTCACATTGTGTGGTGAGAATTAAAATCTCTTGGGAGCAAAAGCTGTGCAGAGTCATCTCCATTTTTTTCATTGATCTATTTTTTGACTTTTTGCACGCAACTTAGAATTGGATGTGCACGTCAATTTCACTCTTTATCCATTAGCTCTTCCCATCTTTATCAATCATTTGAGGAAAAAAACAAGAGAGAGATTGTACATTTATGTATGTATCTTTCTTGGCACGTCTATCCTACGTGTTATGCCTAAGTACACTGCAAAAAGTGAAACAAAATAAGTAAAAAATAGCTCAAATTTGGAAAAAAAAAAAAAATCTTAATTTGAGCACATTCTGACTGCCTTATAAGACTAGCCAAAGGGACAAGCAAAATTATCTTGTTTTAGAAAGATACAAGAAATGTCTCTTTTGAATAAGAAAATAAAGCAACAGTTTTTGAAATGAGACTAAAGGGCTTTTGTCCCATTGGCAAATCTTGTTTGAGAATTATTTGTCAGAATGTACTGTCCGCTTGATTCAAGCTATTACCTCATTGTATGTTTTTTTGCTCCTGTGGACTCACCACCTGCAGAGGGTCAGTGAGGGGCTGGTGCTATGAGACTTGGGTGGCATCTCTGACTGCCACCCCCCTGACCCAGAAATGGATTAAAGGGTAGAAAATGGATGGATGAATGGATGGATGGATATGTTTTTTTGCAGTGTATCCTCATCCAATCACTCCCATCAACAGTCTTCAGAATAATTACAAACTTGTTTTCTATCATTTCTCACGCAGATAGTGACTTCAGCGTGCATAGACCTGCAAGACTACACATACTACTTTGTTGCTGCTCCCTGGCTATCGGTCAAACTCTTACGACTTCTACAATGTTATCCCCCACCTGGTATGGAAACCCACACTTTCAAATACCGTGATTGATATTAATACTGTTTACTATACTAAGAACTAATACACCTTTTTGTATGATTTTAGAGGATGCTGCTTTGAGAAGTCGCCTTACAGAATGTCTGGAGACTATCCTAAACAAAGCACAGGAACCACCCAAGTCTAAGAAAGTGCAACACTCGAACGCAAAGAACGCTGTGTTGTTTGAAGCCATTTCTCTGATCATTCACCATGACAGGTTGGATTCAATTCAATGTATTATTGTATAGCCTTAAATCACAACTGTAGCAATCTCAGAAGACTTTACAAAGCCGTTGAATTTGCCAACACAGATCAGAGAATCAAACTGTTCAAACGCAAGAAATGCAATGATAAAAAACACCGAGCTTTGGTCCATAAGGGGTTGATAAATCCATTAATGTCAATGAATGTTGTTAAATTTCAAGTGCCCTGGATTTCAAGTTTTCTGGGCATGCTGTAAAGCTGGGGTACCTAATATGTTTTCCTTCATCAATAATATTTTTATTTTTCCCAACCCAAAAGAATCTTGTAAAATTCTCAGAACGAATCTTATCACCACATGCTGTCTTTGTCTTATTGGAAAATCTTGTATATAGAGCCCTGTGAGTCTCTAATGCTTTGGGCTGAGAATGTATTGGCTGAAAGAGGGTGGTCCTCTTTTTCACAGATCAACTTTTTAGAGGCCAAAAACAAATGACTGTGAAAACTCATGATAAACGTTTTTTAGAGCATGGGACAAATTAGATGGATTTTTATATCTTTTGTGGTTTGAAAATGCCAGATTCAATAATGTACAGTAGTGCTTAACAATTTCTCATCTAACTTTTTTATTCATCCATAGCGAGCCCACACTGTTGGTACGCGCCTGTAACCAGCTGGGTCAGTTCTTGCAGCACAGAGAGACCAACCTGCGGTACTTGGCCCTGGAGAGCATGTGCACACTGGCCAGCTCCGAGTTTTCACATGAGGCAGTCAAGACCCACATGGAGACGGTCATAAATGCCTTGAAGGTAAACTCTGTTCAGGAATATTCTTAAGGTCATGATAACATGTCGTGCATCTGTGCAATACTTTGAACTAATGTCAGAATGTGCAATAGAGAACCTCTGTCACCTCACTTACCCACATGAGGGTAAGAGCAACTAACATTGCACTAGAATATAAAGTCGTTTTATCTTGCTTTTTTATAACGCCAAGCTCAGAGATTATATATTTATTACTTGCTTCTTTATTATACTAAAGCTATAGATTTTATATTTGCGTCTTCTTATGCCACAGTTAGATGTTATTTTAGTATAGAGCCATTGCTCCTCATTCCTTCTTTTCTGTAACTGGTGATGCAACACTGAAATTTCCCCCCTGTGGGACAAATGAGGGATCTCTCTAAATGAACATAATCATCTTCTAACTAATAGGAACAATCTTGCTTAGCATTATTAAGGCAGATTTGAAAATTTATAGCAGAAACAATATTACATTTAGTTCCTTTGCTAATGGTAGTGAATTAACTCCGAATTGAGATTCATATAAATGCACAGAATTTTCCATGTTCAATATTTTTCAACAGAGGTGCCTGATCCTTTCTCTATTTTCCATTACAGACGGAGCGCGACGTGAGTGTTCGCCAGCGCGCCGTGGACCTTCTGTACGCTATGTGCGACCGCAGTAACTCCAAACAGATAGTAGCTGAGATGCTGAGCTACCTGGAGAATGCGGACTACTCCATCAGGGAGGAAATAGTAAGGATTGTCTTGACTACAAACATTTTAGTGACCAAAAATCCACTGTAGTCACTTTGTCCGCCTGGACCTTAGCTTCTGATTGCCGTGCCATGTCCAATATTACAGATATGATTAAGGTGATTTAATTTGAAATTGTTCCACAGGTTTCACAAAATGTTGTCCACAAGATTTATTCACTGAACAAATCACTCAAAAAAGTTGGAAATTTAACCCAAAATGCAGTGTTGCAGTCAAAAACTGTTTGCCTATGAAACCAGGCTAACTCAACCACCTAAATAAATAAATATAGCACACAAAAATTGTATCAATTACCGTAAACCAAAAACTAGGACAATAGTAAATCACTATGGATGGGACGGTATGATATTTGTGACCAATAGCCACAATATGATGCTTGGGAGATCTTTTAAGAGGCCCTCTCCACTGACACGCTCAGGGCAGGCAAACATGTATTGATATCCTCCTATTTTTTATGAAATGGTTTTGAGCTGCTCATCTGAGATTATACTATGTATATCTGTAAGCTACATGGTATTAAATAATTATTAGGTACAAACATTTTTGGTTCATACATTTATTTTATTGCAGCTTGAAGTAAGATTGCGTGAACCAATTCAAAACAGTCTATTTGTGAACTTTAGCCTGTTAGGAGGGCGCTGGTTTATTGCACAAATCCAGTAAAGCAACTAAAGGCTCAGGTCATACTGTCATAATAAATTCTGTCCTAATAGGCAAGGCAAGGCAAGTTTATTTGTATAGCACAATTCATACACAAGACAACTCAAAATGCTGAACAAAATAAAAGCATTGAAATCATAAATAATCGCAGTATATTAAAAAGAAAGATACAAATATAAAATATACAATCCCTCAGTTGTATGCACAGCTAAACAGAACTGTTTTCAACCTTGTCTTAAACATTGTCAGAAAGGAGGCCTGTCTCACATCTTCAGGAAGATGGTTCCACATTTTTGCGGTATTAATCTGAAAAGCAGCCTCCCCATGTTTAGTTCTGTCCAGTCCCTGTGCTCCTCAGAGTCCGGGCTGGTTCATATGGGACTAACATGTCACTAATATATTGTGGTGCGAGGCCATGGAGAGACTTGTACACAAGCAGAGCTGTTTTAAAGTCTATTCTCTGAGCCACAGGAAGCCAGTGCAGAGACCTGAGAACTGGACTAATGTGGTCGTACTTCCTGGTTCTAGTCAGGACTCGAGCTGCTACAATTTGAATGTACTGCAGCTGTTTTACAGCCTGTTTGGCGAGACCTGTGAGCAGGCCATTGCAGTAGTCTAACCTACTGGAGACAAATGCATGGATAAGAATCTCCAGGTCTGCTTTAGATACTATGTTTTTGATCCTGGCAATGTTTTTTAGGTGGTAAAAAGCTGCTGATGTTACTGATTTAATGTGGCTATTAAAATATCCAGTCCAGTATTACTCCTAGATTTCTGACTTTGTTTGAGGGTTTCAGAGAGAGAGACTGTAGGTGACAGATGACGCCCTCTCTTTGTTTCTGGCGACCAAAGACAATAATTTCAGTTTTGTCTGCGTTTAGCAGAAGGAAGTTGTTTTGCTGATCTGTTGGATACAGTGAAGGAGTGAGTCCACTGGTCCATGTTCTCCTGCAGTCAGTGAGACATAGATCTGAGTGTCGTCTGCATGATAGGACACTTGGTTTCTGCGTATTAACTGACCTAACGGCAGCATGTAGAGATTGAACAGAAGAGGTCCCAAGATCGACCCCTGTAATAAAAAAATTGCCAATGGGACAGGCAAAAAAAAATTCTTTTAAAGACTGTAGTAACGTTTGTCTCATTCCAAGTGGGGGTTTCTTAAAAAAGGAATATTATAAGAACATCAATTTAACCCAATTCAAGACTTTCTTTACATGCTTTTTGTCATTCTTTGCCATCAACCATGCCTTTTTGATAATCATCGACCTGGTAATTGTCCCAGGTCCCAGTTTTTGCTTCTCCCCTATGATATTATTATAATAATGAAACTGAAACTATTTAGTGAAAACAAACGGGTCTAAGTATGAGTCTTTCTTAGGTCCTGAAAGTAGCCATCCTCGCAGAGAAGTACGCTGTAGATTACACCTGGTACGTGGACACTATTCTCAACCTGATCCGCATCGCCGGAGACTATGTGAGTGAGGAGGTGTGGTACCGGGTCATTCAGATCGTCATCAACAGAGACGACGTGCAGGGCTACGCGGCAAAGACCGTCTTTGAGGTAAGTGTGGAGTGGAAGCATCCGGTCCATCACAAAATATATACTAGTTCATTTACGCTATCATTTATGCTATCATTTACGCTATATGCTATCACAGACGAAGAGAGACAATATCTGTACGTATGTATTGTATGTAAATGTATCCTCCTTTAACAAAAACTGCAAAACAGCAATTGCAGTTTCTAAAATATGCTTTATTTTAATATTGATTATGGCGTAACTGCATCTACCGCATCTATCTGCTGGGGTACCAAACTTTCAAACCACAATTAATGAAACTATTGTATGTAATATAAACCACTTTACTTGGTTGCGGCTCTAAAATAGTTGTTTTGGCCCTCACATTCACATTTGTGTACTTAAAGCCTCAGTCACATTCTTAGATCAGGTTTTTTTGGACGAGAAAAGTTAAGAAGAAAGGAACACCCTCACTTGGCTCAAACTATCAAATAGGGACTCGCGTGGTTCTTTATTTAAAAGTGTGCAAAAGGTAGAATGTTTTCCAATAAGATGGAAGGCAGCATGTTGGACAGAAGTGTATTTATGAAAACAAAAAGGAAAGTACTTCAGCTTTAACATTAAATGGAAATTAACCTCATTTTAGACATTTAGAAGCACATGGTAACCCATTTTTTATATAGTTTGCTACATTATTTGTTATTTATTGAATCGTTCATTTGCAGAAACGTCATTGTCATTAGAAAGTTGAACGTTTTCCAATTTTCCCTTCAAGTAGATTTTTGGAACGCCAGATCTATCCAAATCCTTTCAAATTTTCTGCTATTAACAAAACATTGTAGCCAGAGGAATACAACTTTTTGAAAAATTATCAAAACTGAGATCAAATCCAAACTATTTGATATTGTCCACCCCGACTGTGGGGCGAGACACGGGATGCTTTGTCTGCGGTATCTTTCTTCAGAGATGTCCACCACCACAAATTGAACTGTGGGGGTTGTCTAAAACTTTCTGTGGCCACTAATGCACAGATATTGAGTTCAGATAATGTTACAGTGCAAGGGATAAATCAGATTGTGGGAAGACGTGGAGCTCTTTTGATGCTTGGCTGTCTAGGTTTAGGTATCAGACTATGTAAGGCTGCATGAGGCTGTAAACACATTCACAGAGTAGAAGATTTATATTCATATAAAATAGTGGGCTGTAAAATAGTTTAAGTATTTTAATTTTGGTCAACATTACAATATCTAAACTATTGGGCCGTAGATGTCTCTGTTCTGTTCTTTTTTTAAACATGTCTCAAAATTATTGGGGTTGTAATAATCCTTTTACACCAGTAGATGGGGTGTTCCCTTTGTAAAGACCATTCCCCATCCAGCTATTTGCAGTAAAAAAAAATCCCTAGTTTCTTGACAGTGTAAATTTATCAGGTTTAAAGTGAAAGAACGGAAAGAAGGACAAAGCTATCAAGTCCCAATATATTGATCCTACTAATGTGTTTTCCATGTTTCACAGGCACTGCAGGCCCCTGCCTGTCATGAGAATCTGGTGAAGGTTGGTGGGTACATTTTAGGAGAATTCGGTAACCTGATTGCTGGTGACTCACGCTCAAGGTAAACATGACTTTACCTTGGTTATTCTTTATACGTGAACAGTATAATTTCGTAGTGTATCCTGGTAATTAAATTTGAAGCAGCCGCATTCTTTAAAAATAAACCTCATACTGCTGCAGCAACAGCTCATGAAGCAGAGAGACAGAAGCAACAGTGACCGATAATTTAGGAATTATATCTTTTATTTCAGTGTCTTAAAGTAGTTTGAAAATCTCTCCAGAAATAAGCTCCCTACTTTTTGTGTGGCTGGCTTATCCATGTTCTGTTTTTCAATAGCAATTTTCAGTGATCTATGAAATAGAAAAATCATGAATAATTTGGATAGTCGGAGGGCCTGTACACACTCGAGGTCTTGGCTATGGATAGTTTGTTTATGTAGACATACAGTCCCTTGCGAAAGTATTGAACCTTTCAACATTTCGCCACATTTCAGGCTTCAAACATAAAGATATAAAAATTAAATTTTTTGTCATGAATCAACAACAAGTGGGACACAATCGTGAAGTGGAACGACATTTATTGGATGATTTAAACTTTTTTAACAAATAAAAAACGGAAAAGTGGGGCTGGATACAAAAAGCTTTCCCAAGCTTTAAACATCTCAAGGAGCACTGTGCAAGCAATTATATTGAAATGGAAGGAGTATCAGACCACTGCAAATCTACCAAGACCCGGCCGTCCCTCCAAACTTTCATCTCAAACAAGGAGAAGACTGATCAGAGATGAAGCCAAGAGGCCCATGATCACTCTGGATGAACTGCAGATAACGACAGCTGAGGTGGGAGAGTCTGTCCATAGTCGTGCACTGCACAAATCTGACCTTTATGGAAGAGTGGCAAGAAGAAAGCCATTTCTCAAAGATATCCATGAAAAGTCTCGTTTAAAGTTTGCCACAAGCCACCTGGGAGACACACCAAACGTGTGGAAGAAGGTGCTCTGGTCAGATGAAACCAAAATCGAACTTTTTGGCCACAATGCAAAACGATATGTTTGGCGTATAAGCAACACAGCTCATCACCCTGAACACACCATCCCCACTGTCAAACATTGTGGGGGCAGAAAACCTGTTGGAGTCTGCAAAAGACCTGAGACTGGGACGGAGATTTATCTTCCAACAGGACAATGATCCAAAACATAAAGCCAAATCTACAATGGAATGGTTCACAAATAGACGTATCCAGGTGTTAGAATGGCCAAGTCAAAGTCCAGACCTGAATCCAATCGAGAATCTGTGGAAAGAGCTGAAGACTGATGTTCACAAACGCTCCAACCATCCAACCTCACTGAGCTCGAGCTGTTTTGCAAGGAAGAATGGGAAAGAATTCCAGTCTCCCAGATAGACATATCCCAAGCTGTAATTGCAGCAAAAGGTGGCTGCAATTTTTTTATTTGTTAAAAAAGTTTAAATTATCCAATAAATTTTGTTCCACTTCACGATTGTGTCCCACTTGTTGATTCTTGACAAAAAATTTAATTTTTATATCTTTATGTTTGAAGCCTGAAATGCAGCGAAATGTTGAAAGGTAATACTTTCGCAAGGCACTGTAATTGCATATCTGTCAACATGAGGACATTGGTTTCTATACCAATACATATCAACACAGTCATTTTGGATTCTTTCTTTGTGCTCCCCACTCCTCAGCCCCCTGGTCCAGTTCAACCTCCTGCACTCAAAGTTCCACCTGTGCTCCGTGCCGACGCGGGCCCTGCTGCTCTCCGCTTACATCAAGTTCATAAACCTGTTCCCTGAAGTGAAGGGCACCATCCAGGAAGTGCTGCGCTCAGACAGCCAGCTACGCAACGCTGACGTGGAGCTGCAGCAGAGGGCCGTGGAATACCTGAGACTCAGCTGCATCGCCAGCACCGACATCCTGGTCAGACACGGAGAGATTGACGGAGAGATTGACGGAGAGATTGACGGAGAGATTGACGGAGAGATTGACGGAGAGATTGACGGAGAGATTGACGGAGAGATTGACGGAGAGATTGACGGAGAGATTGACGGAGAGATTGACGGAGAGATTGGGCAGCAGAATATCTTTTTTATTTAGAAATCTCAACTTTCTTAGTACGTGAATGGGATTCTTGCATTATCAGAATCAAATCAGAATAATTTGTATTGCCACGTAAATAACAGGAAGTCACAGACTTGGAAATTGCTTTGGCTCAGTGCAACAGTCAGAGAGAGAAAAATAAAGAATAAAAAACACTTTAAGGATTAAATTTAAATTTAAATTAGTTTAAAGTAGGGCTGTCAAAATTATCGCGTTAACGCACGTTAATTAATTTTTTTCACTAATCGCGTTATAAAAATTGACGCATTTGACGCATGCCCTTGCATCCCATAATAACACTCAGAATGCCGCGGACACATGCGTGTGTAAGATGGGGACAGAGCAGGTAGCTAGGCCCTCTGAGAAATCCAAGTTTTAAAAGAATACACGCGTGACCGCGGGGCACTTGTTGTTTCCTGTATGAACTCTGCATGATGAGCTGCGGGCGCGACAGCGCTCTGGACCGTTCCCACTTCCAGCGGCTGTAATAGGATCATATCCAAGACCACGCACAGAACTATTACAGAACTATTCTCTAGTGTGCGTACGTGTCTTTGTGTAACCGATGCACATGCACAATATCTACAGCGCAGAAGCTGGACTGCGGAGCCTCAGTCTCCTCCGTGTCTTCTCCCAAAGCGCACTCGCTAAATTAAAGCTGAGGTACCTAATTTTCCATTCCACTACCAGTTCATGTTGGTTGTTCCAAAAAAAGTAATGGTGTGAGCAAATCAAACAGATTTAATGACATTCTGCATTTCAGACTATTTTGAAATGTCCCTCATCTGTAACAAACAATGGTTTTGGTCTGAGCCTAAACAGAAAGACAGAATGTTAATAATGTTAATGCCATTTTATATGGATTTATTGTTATAACAAACAAATACAGTACATATGTTCACTAAGCTGTCATTTATCTTTCCATTCAAACAACAATTTACAGAAAAATATGGCATAATTTTGCCAATAGTTTGAAATGCGATTAATTACGATTAATTAATTTTTAAGCTGTAATTAACTCGATTAAAAAAAATTAATCGTTTGACAGCCCTAGTTTAAAGGTGTATGGGAGGAATTTCTTTCTGGTGATACACGAGTGTGATGACTGATTCGACTATTATTCAACCTGGACATGAGCACACAAAAACAAGTTAGTTTTTTACTTGCAAAAGCATGGAGGAATGACTGGGATAGAAGGAAGACAGAACATGTGCTGCATAGTTCTCCCTCAGTCACTACTGACCTTACTCTCTTATTGAAAGATCAAAACACCCACATCCTCAAATGGAAAATCCCCAAAATAGGTAAAGCTTATACATTAACTACTTGTTGGACATCGTCTTGCATAATAGTTTTGCAAAACACCCCAATTGTGGATAATGATTAGCTCTGTTGCAACACCTCAGTTGTAGATTTTCACACTCCAAAGTAGGTCAACCCGAAGTTGTGACTGCCCCTACCATGTTCATATTCATTCATATGATAAACTAAGCAGCAATTCCATTAACGGCAAGAGACATTTGAAAAGGCGTTTCCTCCGAGGAGGGCGGTTCTTCACTAAAATTTGGGAAATTCCTCATATACCTTTTTAACATAATTTTTTTTTTTTTTTAATTCAGTCTTCTATGAAATGTTTATTAATTACAATAAGCATTTTCTTCCAATCACTGACATAATCACAATGTTTTTATATTTGTTTTGAAATATTGTGAATACTTCTCTTGACGCTGAAGTATTATCTAACACTGGCAAATATTTAGATCTAACTGTAGGAAAACCCTTGGATAAAGCAACAGCCTAAATGTGCCTATGCTTTGCTGATCCCAGACTGTATACTGCCAGTTTATACATCCTGCTGATATGGCTTTTGCACTCTTTTTTTTTATTTTTTTTTCATTATCGCAGCTTCAATATAACACCCCATTCACTAACCGTTTTGACTCGTTCTCTCAGGCCACAGTGCTGGAAGAGATGCCCCCATTCCCTGAGAGAGAGTCTTCAATCCTGGCCAAGTTGAAGAAGAAGAAAGGCTCCATGAACGTTCCAGACATCGACGATTCGAGAAAGAACATGAACGGAAACGGACACGTGGAGCACAACAACAACATAGAGGAGCCCAGTGAAGCTCCAGCCCAGGTACATATCTCAAGCGTCCCACCTGAGAGTTTAGCGGACATGGGCCTCTTTCTATCTGCCTCACTTTCCCTTTGCATTCACTCTTTATCTTTCCCTTCTCCTCTGTCATTCTTGTTTCCTCGTCAGTCCCCTGCTTCAGTGGTGGCTGCCCTTATTCCTACCAACAGGCCACGCCCTACATCTTCTAGTCCAATCATACCCTCCTCTGGAATTATGGTATATGCATTGTACTACATACTGTTGGCTCCAAACTTCACCCTTCTGTAACCCCCAATTTACGGCCATCGTAGACGAGCAGGTTACATCTAAGAATGGCTTTTTGTTTTGAGGCAGCTGGCAGTTTGACGAGGCGTGAAATAAGCGCGTGTAATGAGCGTGATTGAGCACCACTATGAATAGGATGGAGTTTTATTTACTGTCTTCCTTCTATCCCAGTCATTCCTCCATGCTTTTGCATGTAAAAAACTAACTTGTTTTTGTGTGCTCATGTCTTGAGCGCTTTGTACGAATGTCTCAATTCCATTCAGTATCGAGATATTTTGCACACGCAAGTAAATAATAATAATTAGTCAATACCTTAAAGTAAAGTACTGCAATGTTTAATTTAGTTTTTTTTTTTTTACTTTTGGGTTTTCTCAGTTTACTCTAGTAATTTACATCTGAGGTTTATGTGACTCTAGTCTGTTGTATTTGAATAATTTAACTTATTCATGTGAGAGGTCACCTTCAGAGAATAATTATGTCTGTGTTCTGAATCTTCAAAGATTAAGTGTTTTTGCACTTCACTTAATGTGCAAGCCATAATAAATGTGACATTTGAGTTGAGCAGTCTTATTTTCTTTTCTTTTTTTTTAATGCCTACAATGTGAGGGACATGAATCGCAATATATTGCAGAATCAATACGTGGCCTAATTATCCCAATATTTAAAAAATCGTCACATTACTTTACTGCTACGATGCGTTAAGCCTCTATTATTATTACTTGCGTCGCTTGGTGTAAATTGGGGGTAGAGCACATTGTATTTCCATCACTTGGCTAAAAAAACACACACAGGGTTCCTACAGGGTCTTAACAAGTCTTAAAAGCATTGAATTTATTAATTTGGATCTGAGACCTTAAAAAGACTTGGAAAAGGTCTTCAATGTTTACCTTTACCCAGTGTATGACTTCTCTGTAGTACATTCTTCTCAAAAGTATAATTTTTCAACCACTCGATGTTGATTTAAAAAACAAAAACTAAAAGAGTGGCATAACACAGACGGACCATAAGCAACAATTCAAGCAGAAGTGCAAAAAATCAAGTAAATTAACACATCTTAAAATCTAAAACCTAACAGATGTTTCTTCTTTGAAACAGGCCACTGTCGTTACTCTTTTCTGAATAGTCGTAAAAAGGTTTAAGACTTGTTTATTATCTATAAATATATTGAGTTCATTATCCTGAGTGCTCTTATTCCTTCTGTCCTGTAATGTACAATGACACTGAAATGTCCCCACTGAAGGACGAATAAAGGTTCTTATCTTTAAAAGCCTCTAGGAACCCTGTACACAGTAGATATTATCTATTGTACAGTTTGTGTTGCTTATTGTTTTCTCTCTCCACAGCCTGCCTCCCACCCCTTCACAGACCTGTTAAATCTGAATTCTCCCCCGGCTACTGGAGGGGGGAGTCTGCTGGTCGACGTGTTTTCTGACTTCCCTGGTCAAGCGCCGGCTCCTCCTGCTGCTGCTGCTACTGCTGAAGTGTCTGAGGACAACTTTTTGAGGTTCAAACACCATTTTGTTTGAAAACTTCAAATGTTCTTTTAGCTAAATATAAAGGAGGGTATATCTGGAGTCTGGGGGTTGGCCCTAATTTACTGTCGAATGGCCAACTGTAGGGTTTTAACAATTCCCTTTTCAAGGCTAAGGCAGATTTAATTGAAAATGAGAATTGGGGACCTGTAATAAAGCTAAAAAGCTCCAGATGGAATCTATGTAAGATCCCAATTAACGTTCTTGTATTTTTGTTTGGCAGGACGTTTGTGAAAATAATCATATGTAAATTCATTGAGCCTCTCCCTGTATAAATAAAGACAAATATATATGTATTCCAAAAATATTTTAATTTACATTTTGTGCAAGATTGGAGGTTGAACTGGTACAGATTCATCCTAGAATGTTTGGCTGGGACAACAAGGTATTCAGCTTTTTTATCATTCACATTTCCATAAGGGTGATGGTGATGGCTTTTATTTTATACAAATAAAAAAATCCACTCAACTCTTTTCCAAAAGAACCATGGTCCAGTGTGAACATGTACAACAAACATAATTATGATCACTAATATGATTATCAAGGCACGCTTAAAATTACTTTTGTGAATAGGAATCATACAGATTGATAACCTTCAACCAAGACGTTCTAGTAACTTGAGTGAGATTGAAGACATTACATAATATATAGACAATTATTTATTTTATTTATTTATTCTTAAGCATAACCCCTTGAATCTCTTTTGTAAAGGCGTCCTGAGACAGCAGAACAAAACAAACATTTTACAGTTTACTTACAATAAGAGACATTAATGCTAAAAGTGCAATAAATACGGACTGCTTTTCTCCAATAGGTTTGTTTGTAAGAACAACGGCGTTCTGTTCGAGAACCAGCTGCTGCAGATCGGACTGAAGTCCGAGTACAGGCAGAATCTGGGTGAGTTCTAAACCACAAGCTTTTTCAATGGATCAAACCGTAAATATATCACTCCTAAATGATGCATCCAATGATGTACAAAAGATGGAATCAAATTAACTAATTTGATTGAATAATTGAATTGCAGAGAAAGATCTCATTCACCACAGTTTGAGAAACCCTGCCTCAAACTCAAAGACTATGTCACAATTTTCAACATGTGTCTTTCAGGTCGAATGTATGTGTTCTATGGCAACAAGACTTCTGCCCAGTTCCTCAGTTTCACGTCATCAATTCACTGTGGAGACGCACTTAACGCTCATATCCTTTCAACAAGAACTGCTGTAGTTTCTGGACCTGTACCACACCTGCACCACAATAAAAAATACATATATTAGCGTCCCTATAGAAGTCACCGCAATCAAAACTAGAAAGAAGTTATGGAAAATTACGGTAGATGCATGTAAAATGGCCGCTGCAACTGGACTCTGTACTTAGTTTCTGGTTCTCTTGTCTCGTAAAAGCCTTGACCAGTCTCCCACAGCTGATAGTCCACGCCAAGCCAGCGGAGCCTGTGATCGAGGGCGGAGCTCAGATGCAGCAGATCTTCAACATGGAGTGTGTCTCTGATTTTTCTGACGCTCCAGTGCTCCAGATTCAGTTCAGGTCTGTGTGCATTCTCAATATTTTGGTATGAAGCTATACATGCCTTCATCCTCAGCCTCTCTGGTCTCGGGATCCGCTCTCTGGTCTCGGGATCCGCTCTCTGGTCTCGGGATCCGCTCTCTGGTCTCGGGACCCGCTCTCTGGTCTTGGGACCCGCTCTCTCTCTCTCTGATCTCTCTCTCTGGTCCCTCTATCTGGTCTGATTATAATTGTGTGCGGGTGCTAATAATCTTCTTGCATCAGCCCACTCCTTTTTAAGCAGAATTAATAGTTTTCAAATAAATAAATACATAAAATAAATGACATAACTTTTTGTACGCAGATATGGTGGCGCTCTCCAAAACCTGGCTGTCAAACTCCCCATAATGCTCAATAAGTTTTTCCAGCCCACAGAAATGACATCGCAAGACTTTTTCCAGCGCTGGAAACAGCTGGGAGCGTAAGTTCTAGAGTTGTCATCTTAACAATGCGACGCCCAATGTCTTTTCTTCCGCTAATTTTGCCTGTGGCTTTGTGGTTTTTTTAAAGTCCGCAGCAGGAAGTTCAGAAAATATTTAAATCCCAACATCCGATGGATATAGATGTCACTAAAGCCAAGGTATGAATTCTATTATCAATTGGAAAATATTGAGATTTGATAAAGAATTGAGTTTCTTTACACAGAACATTTGTGTGTTCCCTCTGTCTGCAGATCATAGGTTTTGGGGTTGCTCTATTGGATGGGGTTGATCCAAATCCTACAAACTTTGTGGGAGCAGGAGTCATCCACACAAAGAGCACTCAGGTGGGCTGTCTACTCAGACTGGAGCCCAACACACAAGCCCAGGTGAATGTCAATCACATCTGCAGTATTTTCACTCCATTGGATTGTGTACTCTATTGCATGTGTGTGTATTTGCAGATGTACCGCCTCACTCTTCGAACCAGTCGAGATTCTGTTTCTCAGAGACTCTGTGATCTTCTCTCAGAACAGTTTTAAGCTGCCAGTATTCCAGTATTTCAACGCCTTTATTCATTAGTATGTTTGTTGTACAGTGTGAAGTCTTTTTTCATATTTCATATTAGGTTGTGTGTATATTGTCTTATATATTTGTCTCAGCTTTACTAATATGCCATTGCTTTAAACCTGCCAATGTACTCACACTGTGAGCACTTTAGCCGACAGGTGGCGACAGTGCACAGAGCTAAATTCTGAAGCTCTTTTGTTTGCAAATGGTCAGTTTATGCTGCTTTGATTCTTTCATATTCAAACATATGAGGATTGCTTTATAATAGACTTTTTGTGAGCAGAATGAACAAAGCTTTTAAGGTCTATGTTTAAGGTCCTTTAGCCTCTAGTTTATCAAACTAATGTTGCACACCACAGGGACTTGTTCCTAACCACTGAATTTGCACTTGTTAGGTAGAAAACCACATTTATAGATTAGAGTATGACTCTTGGGACAGATGCCTTATGCTACCCATGTTCTGTCCATCTCAGGAGACTGTTGTCTGTCAAGTATTACTGCCACCTGTTATAGAACATACTTGGATGTTTTGTGCATTGATACAAGATTCTAGGGGAACAAATGAAACTACCATACAAAGTATCACCTGGTGACTGATGTCTCCAGATGCTGGGCCTAACTCTCTCTGACACAATTGTGCCTTTGTGATAGAACTGGAGTCTGTACTGTTTAAGCACTGCTACACTGTTACACTACTTGCCTGAATGCATCACAAAGAACACTGCCAAACTGGTAAAGTATCTATATTTCTATGTTTTATAAATACTTGTCTTATCTAATGTGTGTCTTTTTTAATTACTCACAACTACTTTTATCAAAAGCAGGCCACAAGGTTTAAAAACATGTTTTATTTCAAAGCTTATTCGTCTAAAAACATCCAATAAGTTACAAATTCAATTGATTGTGCATGATATGGTTTGTATTTCACAGAAGTACAAAAATAATTCCCTCCTAAGGCACATTTTTCACTTCAGTGCTTCAATCCCTGTAGCTGACCTCCGCTTTCAGTTCTTTGGTCACATAGTTGAGGATTGCAGCTGTGACCTGCTGCTGTAATGTTGCGTTGCCCATCACCAGCGCAATGAGCTGAGCTGCGTCTGTCCAGTCCAGGTTGCTCAGGACGGCGACCACATCCTGGTACAGCCGGTCCCTCTGCGCAGGCGGCAACTCCATCAGGATCTGAGGTAGAGGTCGGAACTGTCCACTGGTCATCCAGCTGCCCAGGAGACCACCCACTGCCCCTCCTGCCAACACAATATCCATTAAGTTCTGCAACCTGTAAAATTACTTGGACTCTGTAGCTATCATATAATAAAACATAAACATCAAACATGGATTAAACCTTTACCTGTTGAAATTTACCCCACTGAGAAAGCAAATATAGAATATCTTAAGTGGCACGTGAAACCCAGATCCCATCAGACCTCTGAAGCTAAGTAGAACAGATGCTGCTTATTACTGTGATGGGAGACCTCTGGGAACACCAGGTGCCACAGCTGTAAAGTGCCAAACTGACATGTCCTTGAGCAAGACACTTCACCCACATTGCCTAGAATGAGTCTGGTGTGTGTTTGACTGGGTGGTAGTGGTCAGAGATGTTATAACTACCATCTTATTTTTCACAAATTAAAATCACAACAGATGAGAACACAAGACATTAATAATAATTCTACACAATAAAATATAGAAATAAGATGGACTGTACTGAATGGGCTACAGAGGACCAATAAACTGACAGAATTTTCCTTGTTGTACAGACTGTTTGAAACTTACCAACAGCAATTCCTGGTGGTCCAGCTAGAAGACCTCCAACAAAAGCACTGCCTCCTGCCATCAGCGCACCTTTAGTTGAATTCTTCACTGCTACTTTGATCTGATCATGGGCTGATAATTCACAGCACAGTCGCATCACATCATCAATCCGTGGGGCCATTTCTGGAAACACATACAGGACAGTCAATGTCAAACAGCAAATTAAAATGCAGCTAAAGACTTTTTTTGGATCATCTTAATTTCTCATGACAATACATTATACCATACAAGTGACCCGTTTACAGGAAACGAGTTTATACTTTCAGTTTCAAGATTTGACTTTGAAATGCAATTTAACGGATCGTATTTATTCACTTATGTTGTAATAAAGTGTCTTTTTTTTTCTTACCATAAATAACTCTTTTGTACGGTCACCACCACAGTAAGTTGTAAGGGGCTTCACGTTCTAGAATCTGACGTAATAATTGTAAATGGAGCCAGATATTTTACTGAAACTACGTTAAAATACAGGCTCAAGTCTGTCAACAAAAGTCTGTCTGTATGGACGTGTACGTTTGCTTTCGTTCACGTGATGTTCGATAGATCTAAGGATCAATCTTTATTTTAAGCTTAGAACTCTTTGTAAACTATGCTAAGCAACTTTCAACCGTGAGGCCAAGCTGTCATAGACAATCGTCAGGGACCAAACTAAAAAACAAACTCAAACAATGTAAATAATCACGACATACCTGCTTACATGAGAGGTCAAAGAGTATCACTTGTCTCTTATCTCTGCTGTGTGGCTCTTTTTTCGAAGCAAACATGAGGTCGCAAAGTGCTGTGGGTCTGTCACTTCCTTTCAAAGAGCAAAAACAACGGGACAAGACAAGAGAGTTCTGTGCTACAAAGACACAAAGAATGTATGTTTGAGTTTTATAGGGGTTTGGACCATGGATCTATTGTGGTTTGGACACATTCATCTTTTCAGCCAGTCCCCAGTTAATAATATAAATTGAACACACTGATTCAAGTAACAATTACTACCAGTTTTATCTTGTTTTTTCCCATCTGGTGTTAATGCTCTAAAGAAAGTTCGAACAAGCTAGCTACAGCATGAAAACGTGAAGTTAGGTCGAGTGTAGTAGGTCACGAGTAGGTTATTTGATCAACATGTTTCATAAAACCCTTTAAACTAATATTTGCTTAGTGCTTTGTCAGGAGTCACTTGACATATTTGCGGGGATAGAAACCCCCTCTCACTGTGTTTTTGTGGCCATCTTGTGTGTTGATAAAAACTCCTGTCACTGTTTGTGTTTGTCTGAATTAAGGATTAAAGTTCTCTTATTAACTCATAATAATGTAACAGTTAATGTAATTATATGATAATATATATCCTGATACTTGGCATTGCATTTGACCTAATATTATTGTTATAATTATATTATTAATAATGTAACAATAAAATTATTGATATAATTATATATTGTTACAACAATAATGATAATCATAATCATAACGAGAGCAATAGACTTTTTACAGAAACATCAGACTGGTAACTACGACAATGATAGTTATTATATTGATGATGATGATGATGATATTCAATAATAGTAAAAATAGGTATAGCAATTAGTACACAAAAAATGACAGAATAGGATCTGAACTTACAACAAGGATGCTTGTTGTCACGCTAACTCATGCTCCCTCTAGTCTCTTACATGTATTTGTCACCCCTCCTCTGTTGGGCGGACCGTGTACGCGTATAAGGACACTGGGAGGACTTTCGCCGATAAACAACTTCGAGATCAAAACAATCTACGAGGAACTCAACAGTGGAATACTGATCCGCGCTTACACCCGAAAACTAAAGGCCAATCTTCATATTTATCTGGTGAGTTTTGCAATTTAATGATATTGTCTTTTTGTTCAACGCTTCAAGTACTTCCCATCTTCCTTTGTCCTTTGTTCAGACTAATCCCCTCCGCTATGAGATGTCTGCTTCATAATCTTTTGGCGTTATAACAGTACTATCTCTGCTTTTAAATTGTGAGACACTGAGATATTTGTCATCTAATAAAATACAAATAAAAACATGTATAAGACTGAATGGAAGGGCAGTCTGTCAAGCGGAGTCTGTCAGGCGCGTAGATGCGATGATCTCTCTGAAAAATCAAGAGAGGAAAAAACTACATATATCATTTTGATCCAGACTAAATACACCGCCACAAGTGATGGGGCAGTATATTTAGGTAACTGTGTCTGCTTTAATACCAGGGAGGGGCTTGTTTTCCAGTCAGCAGCCAAGGAAAAACACTGCTCTATTTATGGCTCTATTTTTGTCTACCAAAACAACACAATTTGATTGCCACGTCCAATCATTTCCATTTATTTCAGTTAATATGTAAATTTCAGTTTTATGTATACATAGCTTTTCAATAAACAATAATTTGAACCAAAATAATAGGCAAGGAAAGTTAATTTGTATATCACAATTCATACACAGGGCAACTCAAAGTGCCGAACAAAACAAGATACAATCCATCAAAACATGTATGAGGTAGCAACAGATGAGGATGCAATGTAAAAATGTAAACACGTTTTTCTTGATTAAAACTGTTTTAATTTAATAGTTTATCCTTGTCCTTAGAGCTAAGGGCAAATTAAGTTATTAAGTCACCTTTAATGCACCCTCCCTATTACAGTAATAGTAACCTACATAATTCTAGTCATTACCTAATAGTTCCTGGAGCAGTTTGAACTCCGCGAAGGTTATTGGGTAACACATTTGTTCCAGCTACAAATGTTTTGGAAGGATTCAAAGTTTCTGCGTCACTGTGATGTAAGAGCTTCAAGTGTGCGTGCTCCTGGCCAGAGGAATGGCAGACAGCTGCTGATAACAACCAGATGACAGTGCACTAGGACGCCACTAGAGGGCGCCAGAATCAGTGTTCCCATAGATACTCAGTGGAAGATTATTTTATACAACTACTGTTCTGAAAGGTGGACTTTGAAACAAGATCAAGCCTGACAGTATTGAGGAAGCTGTGATAAAGACGTATGATGCTTGACATTAATGGGATTTTAAGACATAAACAGATCTGTCTGAGTTTAACATGTAGACTTTATTACTTTTGTTAGTAATATTTTTAGAATTGGGTTTTTATTTATGTTTAGATGGATGGACACCTGCATTTCTCCTTTAGGGGATCAATAAATTATGGGGTTTTCACTATCTTTTTCATTGTTGTTTTGGCACCTTTTCTCTAACTGGCATAGATTTCCACAACATCATTACTGATATTATAGTGATATGAACCTCCTGTATATCTCAATATGAACCTATATCTCATTATGAACCTATGGCTTTAGTATAGCTACAATACGACTAATATTCTTCTCTTTAAAAGCGGGTTTAAAGTTGAAAAGTTCAGAACAAGCAGGTATTCTGAACAGAAAGTACAAACATATACATTGGAATAATTGTGCAGTCTTATTTTTTTCAGAATGAAAGCATACATACAATAAGCATTTCTACTGAGGAAAACCTTGTAAGTCATTTATGCATGTAATGTTTAATTTGTGTTCCAGATCCAAGATGCTGGCTAAGATCCTGTCTCACCTCCTGGGCAGTGCTGTGGACGAGCTCGAGGCTGCAGATACTGTCGAGGAGCTAATGGAGCTTGAAGAAGGAGAGTGGGTCGTTGTCAATCTGGCAGGTGAGAGAAAGACTGAGTTTTGTCACACACTGTATATTAAGAGGGCAAACGTATTGCTAAGATGGTTGTTAAGGCAAGCTGGATTTCCCTATAAAGGAAGGCATCTGGTCAATCCTTACATGGTTGGAATGGATTTACAAAGGCCATATCAAAATAAAAACACCAGGATTATAGAGAGTGCTAAACCACAGATTTTTTTTGGCCCAAAAAAGTGAGTGTGACAAAGAGTTACTGAGCGAGAGGATAGATCAATAGTAGTCAATAGGAGCTAGAGAGAGTTGGGGCAAAACTTCCTTGAGCTAGACGGTTAGCATTGTCCATCTATGTATTTTAGCTATGTAGAGGAGATTCACAAACCTTCATTATTTTGAAAGCATCTTTTGTAATAATCAATATTTGCAAGATCTTATGAGCATTAAAATGTTCAATTCATTTATATAGGAGGGTGTCAAGTCTATAATGTTATTGTTTGGTCTGGAAATAGCCTAGCATTTGATCATCACCATAGAAATTCACAAATGTCTCTCTAGCAGATCACGTGCAGTTCGCCATGCCGGAGGTGGACCCTCTGGAGAACCTGCTGATCGAGCATCCCAGTATGTCCGTGTACCAGTTCAGGCAGAGGGTCACTGGAGCTGAGGAAGAGGAGGAGGAGGAGGGCAGCTCTGAGGAGGAGGAAGAGGACTCTGCAAGGTTCATATTCACACTATATGCATTCAGTCAAAACTCTCGTTACAAACATGCACGCTCACCCAGACGCCAGCTGACTCACTCATTAGTAAGTGGGCTAATAGTGACTCAATATTACTGAAAGGTGGGCAATACAGATTATATACTACAGTAATGAGTATTTTGATATAGATCTGATATTTTTGCCATTAAAAATACATTGAAACGTCTCTATTATTAATGACTTTCTGGGTGGCACGATGGCATAGTGGATAGCAAGAAGGTTCTGGGTTCAAATCCACCTCCAGGCCTTTCTGTGAGGAGTTAGTATGTTCTTCCCGTGTCTGTGTAGGTTTTCCTCTGGGTGCTACGGTTTCCCCTACCACTAAAAACATGTACAATAGCTCTGACATGTGCCCCTGTTCCCATGTGTGGAGTGAGAGGACAAATGGCCACAAATGTAAAGCGCTTTGTGACTCTGGTCTGTGAAAGGTGCTATATAAATAAAGATTACTTACTCACGTACTGTAAGCCGCCCCTAAATTTGAAAAGAAACTCATTGTTGTCCACGTAGAGGCCGACCCAGTCTGTTTAGACAGTACAGAAGTATAGCTACTAAAACTTCATGGAGTCTAAGTTTTAGTCCATAAACTCTATAACATATGGAACGGTAAATAAAGTAGAATTACTCAAAGTGCACTAAAACTAGTAGTGTCATAGCATTTAAGTATTTTGCCAAAATTGTTCAGAGACTATGAAAGTTAAATATACTATAATCATGTTCCAGGCCTGTGGCGGTGAGGCGGCATCTCTCCTGGCACCTGGCTGCCTGGGGGCTCCCTCTGCCCTGTGACCTGCCGCTGGCGACCCTGCAGAGGGCCAAGACTCAGGACGAACGCAGGAAGCTGAGCCGCAGCGCCATCCACCGTCAGAACATGGTCAAGACCCGATTCTCTGCTGCCGACCGCCGCTATGGCCACTTCAAGCAGCCGTGCCAGCGCCTGTACAACTACTGAGGGGTGGATGGGAGGAGGGGAGCGCTGTGCAGGCTCGGCTTCAGTTCTTCACTTGTACATGGTCCACTCAGGTTTATATTGTGGTATACAGCTGTTTACCTCACACTCGTACTGTATTTAAGGCACAGGATTAAGTCCTGGTTTGGTAAAAAAGTTTGAACAAAAATATTCCCAGCCTTGTTGTTTCTAATAGAAGTGGCCAATACCTTGAAACATATGTTATTGCATTAGTTCATAGAATTTAAACTTGAATTTTAGATCATTAAAATTACCTGATGGATGAAAAAACATTCTGAAAATGTCATTGCTCTCAAATGCAAACAAATTTTGACATTTCAAATACTTTTTGTGCAATACTTCAGACACCTTTTTACCCAATTTTGATGACCTACCAACATTTTATATAGATAATATTACAGAGTTATCAAAAAGTGAACATTTGAAAAATCCCTTCTTTTTTGTAATTTCACCCTTAGGAAATGACAAATATTGACACAATTTGATTTCGTTTTTACAATCCTAGAAACATTGACCTGTGAAGACTCTGTGTTTTACTATAACACGTTTCATATCACTGATTATTATCGTTCCGTTTCGCCTTTCAGACTCAAATAATCGTTTTCAACATTTTGCGAATCCATTTTTGCATTGGTTTTATGTAAAGCCAACCTGCACGGAAGCCGTCCTATTTTGAACACTGATTTTTTGAAACGTGACATCTTTTGCTCTATAGGACAAATGTGTATTTGAAACAAATATTACCACCTATTATTATTATTATTATTATTATTATTATTGATCTTGTAATGGGAGTGGTTGACAATATGAATTAGATCCTGCTGTAGAATTAGAAAATGTGTGGATGATATGCTATAGATATTGTTACAGTGTTGGGAAAATGTATGAAAATCCTGTCAAAAAACAAGTTTACCTTTTTAACAATTTTTATATAACGTGCCTTAGCTTTAGTAACAAGTGAACGCCTCAAACTGTACAGTTGATTATGTGAAATGTTGACAAACTCAGTGATCATTTTTGCTTTTGTTTTCATAGGATTGTCTTTTGCTTTCTACTATTTTATACAACTACACAATTGTCGTTTTACGAAAGGTTTATTTTGTGTGTAAATAATGTTTGAAGCAATGTTTTTTCTATGTCACTATTTATAAAATGTACAAAAAAAGTCTAATAAATATTGTTTTGATATAAAATACAGAGTGTGGAGCAATAATACTTTTCTATCAAACACATAATGAGTATTGTTATTTCTACAGCTACTGGGTATTCTGTTAAAAATGGATAATTGGCTCTTGAGCTTGAATGTCTCAAAAGCATGAGACCTACTTCACAACTCCTTCTGATGTCTACTATTGTTGTGTCCTTGGGCAAGATACAGTGCATCCGGAAAGTATTCACAGGGCTTCAATTTTGTCACATTTTGTTATGTTACAGCCTTATTCCAAAATGGATTCAAATCATTTTTTTCCCTTAAAATTCTACACATAAAACCCCATAATGGCAACGTGAAAACAATTTTTTTGGAGATTTTTGGACATTTATTAAAAATAAAAAACTAAGAAACCACATGTACATAAGTATTTACAGCCTTTGCCATGAAGCTCCAAATTGAGCTCAGGTGCATCCTGTTTCCACGGATCATCCTTGAGATGCTTCATTGGAGTCCACCTGTGGTAAATTCAGTTGATTTGACTTGATTTGGAAAGGCACACACCTGTATACATGAGGTCCCACAGTTGACAGTGCATGTCAGAGCACAAACCAAGCATGGAGTCAAAGGAATTGTCTGTAGACCTCCAAAACAGGATTGTCTCAAGGCACAAGTCTGGGGAAGGGTACAGAAAAATGTCTGCTGCTTTGAAGGTCCCAAACAGCACAATGGCCTCCATCATCCGTAAGAAGTTTGGAACCACCAGGACTCTTCCAAGAGCTGGCCGGCCATCTAAACTGAGCGATCGGGGGAGAAGGGCCTTAGTCAGGGAGGTGACTAAGAACCCGATGGTCACTTTGTCAGAGCTCCAGCGTTCCTCTATGGAGAGAGGAGAACCTTCCAGAAGGACAACCATCTCTGCAGCAATCCACAAATCAGGCCTGTATGGTAGAGTGGCCAGACAGAAGCCGCTCCTTAGTTTGGAGTTTGTCAAAGGGCACCTGAAGGACTCAGACCATGAGTGAAAGAATTCTGAATCCAATTGAACGTCTCTGGAGAGATCTAAAAATGACTGTGCACCGACACTCCCCATCCAACTTGATGGAGCTTGAGAGGAATGGGCAAAAGTGCACAAAGACAGGTGTGCCAAGGTTGTGGCATCATATTCAAAAAGACTTGAGGCTGTAATTGCGCCCAAAGGTACAAAGTATTAAGCAAAGGCTGTGAATACTTATGTACATGAAGTTTCTTAGTTTTTTTATTTTTAATAAATTTGCAAGACTCTCAAACTTTTTTCATGTTGTCATTATGGGGTGTTTCGTGTAGAATTGTGAGGAAAAAAAAATCGATTTTGGACTGTAACATAACAAAATGTGGAAAAGTGAAGCACTGTGAATACTTTCGGGATGCACTGTACTTAACCCCACTTTGCCTGAAGCCCCCGCTGAAAGATCAAGGCAGCTCAGAGTTGAGCGGCCGTCCTGTGTAGGCAGTCAGTGAAGGGCTGGTGCCCTGACTGTGTACAGTCTCAATTGTCCCAAACTCAAATATATATTGTTGTCATGCTGGATTTCCACTCTTTACAAACTTTAAAATGACTGATTTATTTGTTTGGCCCTATGAAACTACACTCTACTGTGCGGTAAGTGCAGTACTGTAGTTTTCTTTTTCAAACTTTAAGTAAAACCAGACATTTTGTGCTGGTTCTAAACCTTCTTTAAAAAAAAACACTTATCTTAATGTTGAGCTAATCGGTTCACATTATGTTGTTCCTGAAGCTGTTTGATAAATGCAACTCAACTTTTGAAACTTTTGTAAAGAAAATTGCTGAGGAAATTTGTCAGAAGGCAAGGAAGTTTATTTGTGTAGCTCAATTCATACACAAAGCAATTCAAAGTGCTGAACAAATCCAGATAGAGACAGCCACACAAGGCATTAAAATCTGAAAAAAAGCAATTTCCCGATAATGGTTCAGCATTAGTAACAAGTATTATATATGCTTATTTGCTCCGTATATTTACTTGAGTACACATCTTCAGTACTCGTTCCACTTCTGGTTATTCAACAGTCGATAGTGTTTACCTTAGAACATCTTATTGTCTTAAGGCTGTGACTTTCTTCATGAAACTCTTCACGCGTTCAGGATCCACGGCGTTGGCCCAGTGTCCTTCTGTCTTGAAGTGTGACCCGATGATCAGTGCATTGGCCTCCATGTAATCTGCTACATTCTCATAAGTGACTCCAGAACCAATCAGGACCGGGATCTTCACAGCCTTGGAGACTGCTGCCAGGTGGACATGCAAAAGAAAACATTTTATGCTTGTTTCATGTATTTAGTATAGAAATGCAAATTATGCCTTACGTCTACAACAGGCAGGCCAAGTCATTAATAAGTTATTGTTATTAACTTGGAGCATTGATGGTAATGGGCGGCTATGACATCTTATTCCTCATTCAAAAGCTTATCTTGTCGGGAAAACAATCATATAATTGAGGTTGAGAATGTAATTTTTCTGTTTCCTCTAACTCTCCAATCTATATAGCCATGCATCCAAAGATTGTATTTTACTTGTGTTAATACCAGATTTGGACACAGCGGTTGATCTCCAAAGCTGAAGATAAAGCACACATTCCTGCTTCAGAGAGTTTATGTGAACAGCAGAGCGGTAATACAAGGAAGTGTTACGCAGGGAATCACGGAGGACCTGTTTTTGTGTGATCAGGGCTTTTGTTTGTTTGTGGACTTATCAATTTGACTCCATCCAATTTTAATAATAATAATAATAATAATGCATCGGTTTTATATAGCGCTTTTTTGGACACTCAAAGACGCTTTACATGTCATTCTTTCACTCCATACACAATTTTAGTCTTTGTTGGAGACTTTGCGGCTTTGTAAAGTCCTCAGAGATAACTACTGTGATTTAAGGCTATACAACAATACGTTTAATTTTATTTAATTTAATAGTATGGAAGGGACCCACGACCATTGTCAACATAGATTGGATTTACCAGAGTGCTTTGATGATCAGAAGTCAACAGTTAAAACACCACCAATAAATCATGTGAACATTTAGTCGTCAAGCAGCTCTGTTTTTGTTTTACTCCGTCAGTCGTTGCTCAAGTGTTATAACGCAGTATGAAAACCTGTGGCTTATATTCAAGTGCGGTCTATATGTAGATTAAATGCACTTATATACAGGTGTGCTTGATAGTCCAGCAAGTACTATGTCAAAAATTAAATGTTTGTAACCCGTTGGTCACTTTGACCAAAACAATGTATATTTATTGTTCTTTTTCTTATTATTCTCATTATCATTATCATCACCATCATTACTGGTGATATTTTATTATGTATGAAGGCCAACAAACAATACATAAGTCACAAAGACACTCACTGACATTCAACACACACAAAAAAAGAGCACGGAATAACCACAAAAGCACAAACAAAAGACAATCCCAAACAGAACATACATAAATGACAAGACAATAATTTTATAAAAAAGTTTAAAATAGTGGGTATCAATTGTTTTTTAAAAGTATGGATAGAAAAGAAGTCCCCAGAATCATTTAATAATTTGGCATCTATGGAAAAGCTGACAACTTTTAACTTTAAAAGCAGTGAGGATGAATCAGAAGCTGCAGCCAAGAGACCCGTGTCACGCTGACCCTGTGAAGTGTGGTCAAAGTTTAGACGTCAGCTGGGTATGTGTCCTGTGCAAGTCCTGACAGTTCATGCTCATATTTATCTTTGCTAAAACAGATATGGCACAAGCGTGTGTGTGTTTACATTTGAGAGAGCAGAGCAGGAGACATGACCTAAAAATAGCCAAAGAGCTGAGTGTGCGTGCTGTGGAGACAGGTGACCCTCGGTGGAAAAAACAAAACTATCCTCTACTCCTTAATGCAGCACACACATTAAAAACAGTGAGAAACAATAAGACATTTTCTCATATAGAATTTCATGAATATTACTTATTAATATTATGTGTATTGAAAAGTCATTCTCCAAGCACCCCTCTGACAATAGTTATCATATCAGATTTATATTGAATCATTATTTTGATGGTATTTTATGCAACGAGAAACAATAGAAAAGGTGGTAAAGAGCTTAAGTGTCATCAGCAGACCACAATGACCCTACCAGTGAGGGAAGTGGATCATCGAGTGTTTTTCTGAAGCCAGGCACTGATTGAATTTGTTGATCTCCATAATAAAATTACAACTGATAAGATCAATATTCAGTCCTTTTCAAGAAAATGGATTATGTATTTGATAACTTAATATGTATCCTCCAAGCTGTTTTGCATTTATCACACTGATGATTGTAATGGGGGCAATTTTCTAAAATACGGTTTCTAAATTCAATCAAGGCAATTTGTAATTGTCAGCAGTCACCAAAACGTTCTGACAGTGACAAACAGAACGACTCTGGGTACTTTGACACTGCAGAGAGTAGTGCCAGTTAATGCAACACTGACATCTCCTGGCCAAACAAGGGACTGTGATTTCTCCCTTTTCCTGAAAAAGAGACTGACGAATATACATACTTTCTTATCTGTTTGACTGTTAGAAGTACCTTTGAGCTGCAGTGGGTCTGTTTGCACTCCTGTTGCACTTCCTGTTATGATGAGTCCGTCTGAGAGGAAGAACTCTGCAGCTCTAGCGGTTTCTTCAATGCTCACATCTGAGGTCAGAGCGTGAGAACTGCAAGCATCCAAATACTTGCATGAACAACATTTTTATCAACTTACCACCTTTTTAAATACCCCAGTGATAAACGTCAAATTCCTTAAAGATATATTTCAGAACCACTATAACAAGTTAATAGATTCATTTCAACTAATTTGATAAGTTATGTAGTATTAGAAAAGTAATTTTTTAAGACTGAAATACGTATGCTTTGAAGAGGATTTTTTACTCAAACTGAGATGTAATAACTGTGGGGGAAAAAATATCTTTTTGTTCTTGTAAGTTTTTGAGTGGCATCACTTCAGCTTGGTCTTGGTCAAATTATCAATATATCCATATTCACCTGTGTTATCCAAACAATTTATTAATTCAAAAGGATTATATGTAGATTAATCAATTATCAAAACAACTGTTTATGGCAGCAGGTGGACAGGGAATTGGAGAGCACATCATTACCTTCTGTTTAAAGCCCTATCATATTTACACCGACAATTTAGCATGTATTCTGAATGTCAAGATCCAATCAACTGAATTCTGTCATTTCATGTCAAATTGTTTTATTCTGTATAATGGTATACAAATTAATGAATACATTTAATAATACCACAAGATCTTTAATGTTGTATCGGTACTAAATCTCACTATGCGGATTCTGTTACCTGCAGTATGAATGGGACATGTGCTTAGAGTGCTTTTGTGTGACTTTTACCTGTGCTTCTTTTTGATGTCAGTAAAAATGCACACTCGCTCTGCGCCAATCTGCTTCCGGTATCTGAGTAAATCTCCAGCACATGCATTTACCAAGCCCTCATCAGCGACATGCGAGAACACAAAGCCCTCTGCTCTGATGAAGTCAAGACCTGTGACAGCACAAAATATGATCAGCAGTGATGAATGCAGAGGAGTTCCCTTAACCACCACTAGCTTTGAATAGGACCTTTGAACAGGAAGCCTGCAGTTACTCATGCCATCCAGCCGTTGACAAGAAAATACGTTGATTGAAGTATTAAAATGCTACATTCAGGCAAACATTGTGATTCTTTAAAAGTAATATTTAAAGTTTATTTGTACAACATAGCTCATTCACAAGGTAACTGAAAGTGCTGAACCAAACAAGGCATTACAACCAAAATCAATCACTGCGTAGGTTTCCTCCGGGTGCTCCGGTTTCCCGTATACCACTAAATCCTCCAGCTCTGGTAGTCCTGACCAAGCCAAGCATCAACATCTGGAGATGGGTTCCCGGGCGCTGCACTACGGCGACCACTGCTCCTAACTTAAGCCTTCGCGGCATCAGGATGGGTCAAATGCAGAGGATTGAATTGCCCTACAGGGATCTATAAAGTGCACCTTTACCTTTACCTAAAAATCCTTCATTTCTATGCACAGCTTAAAAGAAATGTTTCTAATCTACAGTTGAACATTGTCAGAGAAGAACCCAGTCTCACATTTTCAGGAAGACAGTTCCAGATTTTAGCTGCATAAATCTGAAAAGCTGCCTCCCCATGTTTAGTTCTGACTCTGGGCAACAGCTGGAGGCCAGTCCCTGTGCTCTTCAGAGTCCAAGTTGGTTCATATGGCACTAACATGTCTCGGATTTACTTTGGTGCAAATGCCATAAAGAGACTTGTTCTCAAAGAAAGCTGCTTTAAAGTAGGCAATCTTCAGTAAATTAAATGTCAATGGGTTAAAACAAACCTCATGATTGATAATAAGCTGTACCTGAAGCCAGAGCAACAGCCAAGGCTTGGTGGTTTGCAGAAGACAGGATTTGGACGCCCAAAGGCAGAGATGGACACTGGTGCCTGACAGCGGAGCAGACAGCAGTCATACATGCACAAACCTCAGGGCCCACGCTGAATGTGTAGGGGATATCGTGCATGTTCTCAATAATGAGGCCGTCCTGAAAAAATACATACAATTAAGTTAAATCCACCCTATTCCATGACAGTGGACTTATGCATGCTTACAACTCCAGCATCACTGTAGATTTCGGCCTCTCTACAGGCGTCTTCTGTGATTTGACACATGTCCATAGAAAAAAGTGGTGTTCCTGTGATGACAAACAGTTTGTAAATTATAGTTTAGTTAGAATATAAATAAAATGCCTACCTGGTAAAGCTTTAACATGAATCATTCCAATAACTACAGATTTGAGGCGCCCAAACAGTCTTAGAAATGCCATTCCTGTTCTCATTATCAAAAAACATGGGAAAGGTATGAGGAGAAGAGAAAACCGGAATTTGGGTTTACTTAAAACAACACGTGACTGAATGTCCAAGGGTCATTTTCAGGGACTGCAAGTAATTTTACTAAAGTACTGCACTAAAGTATTGTTTCTTGGTATCAGTATGTTACTTTACTACTTAGTTTGTTGACAAATGTTGACCAATTGTCAGTGTTTTCAACTCTTTGCATTTTAAAAAGTAACTTTGCAGATGGCGACAGTACGTTTGTACATTTGAAGTGGTTCACCATGTTTCAAGTGAATTATTTCAATGTGGTTAGTCATGCTTAGTCCAGTGCCAGTATGAAATACTTCTACAATACAGTTATTATGTTATTATCTCTATGACAAGATATTCAATATTCCAAATTTTGAAACCCATCAAGGGATGGCCCTTTATAAAATGCAGCAATTATAATTGACTCTGAAACTATTTTTTGTATTTTGTTGTTGTCTATGGACCATAACAGATCGTGTTCTTAGTAAAGATTGATAAATAAATATTGTCGTCAGTTATCGAGAGACAAAATTAATTATATGTTTATTTTTTTCAGTTTAGTATATTCAGCTGGTACTTCGTAATTTCAATACTTTTTTACCGTTGATTTTTATACTAGTATCTATTTTACTTAGGTACACGAAGGTACCGCCTCATTTTAGATGTGACAAAGTACTATTCTTTTTTTGCCACATCTGCATTTTTCTCAAGTTTGATCATAAATATGAGACTAAAGTTATGTTATTAGTCAAATAACAAATCAGAAAATTCCCACATGATGACACATTCGATGCTTCTACCAGTTACATTCGATGCTTCTACCAGTTTAGTAGAGATAATTTCAATATTTTGTACGGAAGTATTGAAGCAAACATGGCAACCCTCTTTGGAAAAGAGTGCCCGGGCAAACCCTACACAAGCTAACGTGATTTTAACACGAAAAACACGTGCGGTTACGATGACAGCCGCTAAACAACTTCTGTGAACATTGAGGAACATATGGGCGTAGACATTTTGGATGAATTTGGTCAAAAAACGATGTATTTTTGCCTGAAACAGCGAGACTTTCCCTTTGTTTACATCTGACACAGTAGCCACGCGGTTTTCTGAGCACTTCCTCTTTAAGCCCCGCCCCCGCAGCTGTCATTCCCGCGGTCCCGCCCCCCACGAGCCGGCAAATGTATTAACTTCACTTTCTCTCTTTGTTAATTGTCTATCTACTGTCGTACTGTGGTTGTTACGTGTCCATTGACTATATCGCTTCGAGGTGGGTTCATTAAATGCAAAAACTTGAGCATTTGACAGATCTGGAATCTCTGATTTAGCGCCAACTTGAACCAACCTCCTCCCTCTGACGCTGATGGTTTAAGTCATCTGTTTCCTACAAGGCGCCCGCTCAGAAGCTATTTTACCCCCGGCCTCAATCCACACTTCTCCCCCATTTACCCAGGCGGCAAAGTCTGCAAAGAAACCTACATTTAAGCTTTGTAATCACAGACGACAAGAGTGAACTTCAAGAGAAAAGGCTTGAGGTAAGTGTGTTGAACTTTTCTCTCTAGGTTAGCTAGCATCAGCAGAGTTGCAACAAGTCTAGTGAATAGAAAGATTATAATCCGCGGCAAATTCATGAAGCGATAAGTGCATATGCATGTTTAATACCTAATGCAGTGGACATCGACGTTTGTTTTGCTTGATATTTCTGTTGTTATAGCTAAAAGTGGCGTCAAAGTTGCACAGGGTTCGGCCATTATCTCTGGGAGGCAAGCCAGCTGTCCAAAGTTAACCAAAGAAATGGTCGTGTTCTGAGTACAAATATAATATAGTAGAGAGGCTTTTGTGTTGCACTGACTCCGATGTCTTGTCTCAGAGTGTTATCTTGGCCATCCGTTCACGTTTGATGAACTTTTACATCGCGTACCATTTCGATTTCCCCGCGCCCGGGCTGAGTTGGGCTTTGTCAGGAGGGAGTTGAGAGTGGGGGTTGGGACAGCTTCAGTGTCTGTTCTTCAATCTTTAAATTAAGCATTAAAATACGTGTTTTCTCCACAGGTTTACTCACACACATACGGACAAGCTCGTGTATAATGCTAGGAAATCGGTAAGTTTAATATTTTTATACATGTTCGATCACTTTAGTCAGACGTGAGAAAAGTTTCCCTGGATGCATCTCGAGCTAGTTAGCTCGATGCTATGGGACTTTTGAGCAAAAACTACCTCACGACACTCTATATCTGTCAACTAAAGTTTGCCTATGATCATGTTGGATTCTTATTTTTGTTCAAGGGAAGAGACAGAACCGAATTCTGTTCCTCCCGAGGTGTTCAGAGAAGCAACAGTTCGCACGAGAAAGAGGAAGGCAGATGTTGCCATTGTAAGTAGCCAAAAACGCCTTATTTATATCGATAATGTGTCTAGTACTGTATGCCCCTCTCTCATACTCTGAAAAGGCCATGGCTATCAACTGCTATTCATTGACAGTTGTATCTGAGGGGTTCAGTCTGTGTATATATGGATGCATTGCCTGCTGCTTTGGCCTTACTTTAACAACTATTTTTCTGTGTCTGATTACCAGTTTTTACATGATATTGACGACGAGGTAGCAGGGATGACAAGGAAGAAACAACGTGACTGTGAGGTAGGCTTCAGATCTGCAATTTATTAATACGTGCATATAACAAAAGTGCCTAACTTGTCCTGTATCACAGATTTGGAGCCCCGACACTGGGTGTGCCAGCCCTCAGAGGTGGATCCCCACACCTGATAATGAGGACAGCCAGCCAGTCAGCCTTATGAACACTGGTTTCCCCCACTACAGCTTTAACCATGTACTGGCAACCCCAGTTCATTGTTCCCCGCTCCCTGCTTTGTGGTGAGTATTGTTACAGTTGTCTTTTAATGTCTCTCTGCTCCCTTTCTCCTGATGTGTCTGAGTGATAAGCTTGTTGTACTAATTTTGACTTGTAATCTTTTTGTAACTAGTTGGGCAAGTAAAGATGTGGTTTGGAGCAACATGCTGGCCAAGGACAAGGCCTACACACGAGACGTCAAAGTGATGGACAAACACCCACACCTCCAACCCAAGATGAGGGCCATTCTGTTAGACTGGCTCATGGAGGTATGCACAAGTTGTGTCTAATTGACAGTGGTTTATGCACTGTGTCTTTTTGTAAGTTAATTACTTATTGCTTTTTTTATTTAATAATGATATATTGTCCCCTGCATTTTTTTTGTTCCAGGTGAGTGAAGTCTACAAACTCCACCGTGAGACGTATCACCTTGCTCAGGACTTTTTTGATCGTTTCATGGCCACACAGAAAAATGTCTTTAAATCAACGTTGCAGCTCATAGGCATATCATGCCTTTTTATTGCTGCTAAAGTCGAGGTAGGTGCTTGAGGGCATTGAAGTGGCCACTTACATGGCCTGCATTGCAATGACTTAATACATTTTTCATATCCTTGTCTTCAGGAAATGTATCCTCCCAAACTGCACCAGTTTGCTTATGTCACAGACGAAGCCTGCACAGAAGATGAGATTCTCAGTATGGAAATTATCATTATGAAGGTGAATAATTTTATGTTGCGACAATTGACCAAACGGGAGTTCAAGGACATCTGGGGACAAGCATTTACCGTAGATGGGTAGTTGTAATGATAACCATAACAATTATGTTTAATTGTTTAATCTGTGCTAATAAACGCGATATCCAGGCTTTTTTTGGTGTCACACAATAAATTATGAACTCTAATGCGACAGTTGTTTGTAGACAAATATACATTGTTCCCAATGGAAATTTAACTGGGACCAGACGTACCGATCTTAACCAGAAGACTCGTTTAAATGGCCACAGAACAAAGTCAATTGTTTATGGGTGTAATCTGGCCTATTCATCTCTGTTGGCTCTTTGGCCCAGTATGACCTGTTTGTCATTTTGTAGGAGAGCTAGGTTTGAAGTTTAACTCAGATAAGTTTTTGATCTAAAATATCAATTATTAGACCAAAACCACATAAGCCAAGATACAGTGAAACAATTGGCTTTTGACAGTTCTTGCAATATTTATTTTAAACCACAGCCTGATGTAAGTAAGTAATCTTTATTTATATACTGCCTTTTACATGCCAGAGTCACAAAGCGATTTATAATTGTTATTTTTGAGCACTTGTCCTCTCACTCCACACAGAGATGGGAGCGGGGTCGCCAGTACAAGAGGCGCATGCCAGACATATTTTACATATTTTTAGTGGTAGGGGAAACCGGAGTACCCGGAGGAAACCTACGCAGACACAGGGAGAACATTCAAACTCCACTCAGAAAGGCCCTGGTCCGACCGGGATTGGAACCCAGGACCTTCTTGCTGAGAGGCGAGAGTGCTATCCACTCAGCCACTGTGCTGCCACGCCATTTAAGACTTTTATTGATTGATAGAATTGATTAACTTCTTACTGCCCTAATCTTGACTTACATTTTTTTTTATGCCTTCATGCCTCATATTTTAACTTACTGTGTGGCATTTTGCTACGGCTTCATTTGATAAAATATATATGATTTTGTGACTTTGACTAGCAGACACTGCACCATAGGCTAGTTTGTAAGTTGTGCACCTGTACTTATTTGTGTCTTGTGTCTGGACAGGAGCTGAACTGGAGCCTCAGCCCTCAGACGCCCATCTCTTGGCTCAATGTTTACATGCAGGTGGCCTTCCTGAAGGAAACTGATGAGCTGCTCATCCCCAAGTACCCCCAAGCTACCTTCACACAGATCGCTGAGGTGTGTTCCTCTGGCATGCACATGCATGATTGAACTTTACTGAAATATTTTCAGTCAGGAGAAGAATTTGACACATTTATTGTGCTATATGTAATGTTTATCTTGAGCTAGTAGTTTGGGGGATGTGTGTTGCTCAGAAAAAACATAACTTTGTAAATTTTTTCCAGTTGCTGGATGTGTGCATGCTGGATGTCCGTGGTCTTGAGTTTTCCAATGGGGTCCTGGCTGCCTCAGCTCTGTTTCACTTCTCATCCTTGGAACTAGTGGAAAATGTTTCAGGTAAAGGGCTATTCCATAATTTTTTTCAATATATTTTAACAAGTATACAATATTATTATTATTATTTTCAGGATGTGCCAGTTTCTAAGCTTTTGTTTGCCATTTTTCTTATAGCTTTGAAAGGCTCAGAGGTTGAGGAATGCGTGAGATGGATGGTTCCATTTGCTATGGCGCTCAAAGAGGATGAAGGGAGACCAATGAAAACGTTTACGGGCATTTCAGACGATGATATGCACAACATCCAAACACACACTGCCTACCTGACATGGCTGGTAAGTCCTACATGTCATAATGTGAAGGCAGTGTTCTGCTACACGGCAGACTTATGAACAGCACAACACATCTCTTCTTAGATATTTAGATGGTGTCTGACTCAATCTTTTGACTAGATACATCAGCAAACATCGAAGCCTCATTTTCCTTAATAAACTCTCGCTGTGGATGTTTTTTAGCAGCTTTGAATTCTGCATTTTATACTCTGCAATGATGGTCTGCATAATATTGTTTACCAAGTGAAGAATGTTTTTTATTTTTCTTTACAGGACAAAGCGTCTTCGTACCGGGATGCAGGACTGCACTATCATGGCCGTTGCTCTGTTCCTTCAGGTGTGCTAACTCCACCCATGAGCAGTGAAAAGAGTGAGGACCAGGAGCCCAACGTGCCCAAAGTCATTCCCAGGATGCACACAGCCTCTCCACAGCATCAATTAAAGTAATGCGGCAAGGAAACGAGGAGCAAAGACTGAACCTGGCTCTGGGTGCTTTACTGAGTAAAGTTGCCATGACGGCTTGGACAGCGCATCTGGACGGGGCAAAGACTTGTGTTGTGTGTGAGAGTGTGTTTTTAGATTCAGTCTTGTCCTTGTTGGGAGATGCTGGTGTGGTAAGGAAAACCTTCAAAACGTTTGTTTTTTTTTGTTTTTTTTCTTCAGCAATGCACACAATGCTTGCTTTTCAACCAACCACACCAGCCTTAAGTGGTTGTCTGCTTTTATGGGCAGAAGCCAAACGGAAAGGACTTTTTATAAACTTGGATGTTTGTAATTAAAAGAGGTGTTATATACTATCCTTAGCTGAGACAGCCCATCAACTATTCTAGAACTGCGGTTCTATTTGCTGCTATAAAAGTGGGCTTTGCTAATGGAGAAATGGGTGAATGACTGCATGTGTGAATATATGAGATATTATTATTTTTTAGGAATTTTTTATTTTTGTCAATTTTCAGACAAAAACATGGCCATGCTTTGCTTGGGACCAGTAGCTTGGCTACTTGACTTGTACAAGTGAACCAGCTCTGCTTAAGAAGCTATTTTTAGCTATATTTAACTTTATTTTTTATCAAAACCCTGTTTTCTCCACCACCAAAATGTAATTTTTTATTTTGACAGTATGAAATAAAATGCTGCTACATATTTTCTTTTCTTTATTCTTAATATAAGATAAACCTTTTATTAGTCTCACAGTGGAGAAATTTCAGTGTCATCATTGCGCACATTATTAAATCTTTCCCAAAAAGTGATGTTGCATGCAGTGTTGAGGTACTTGGTGTTTAGTTACATATTAATTAGTGAAGATTGTGGTCACATAGTTTAACTTGGTTACTTTACGTTTGGATTGCGTTGCCGTTGCTTAATATATATTTTAAGACATTTATACACAATACACATATATTTTACTTTGGATTTGTCTTTGTGCAATACTTCACAGTAAATATCTGTAGTAATCTGTAATATCACAGTCGTATCTGTGCCTCAGCAGATTTAAAGATCGAACTGGTTTTCCCCAAAGGGGATCCCTCTACAAAAGCCACGAAGCCTTCCTGCGTTAACACTATCGCAGCGAAGGCTTGATCACATTTGCCTTGCTTACTAAGTTTTGACCACTAGATGTCGGTGTGACTCCATAATTTTTTAGGGAACCCAGCTGCTCAGAGAATCCAGTTCATTTTCAGCTCCTTGCATGAGGGCCATGCCACTTAATTTCCACTTATGATCAAACTGCAACAACAAAAATACTAATCAGGGGTGCAAATATCGTAGATGATTTTCTTCAAACAGCCACCTTCCAATTTACAAGTCAATCCCAAAGTGTCCTAGTTGCATTCAGACTATATTGAGATGAATCGCCTGCATTGAGCCACACAAAATGCAGCCCACCACCGGCCCTACTCAGCCACATATACTGCTGTCGAGTTTCATGTTTGTTGAAAGTGTTTGCTCCATCCAACTGCAGTTTCAAATCAGGCCACACCTCCCCATGGGCCCTGCCACCATCCCATGTAAACAAGTGTATATTAGCAGCTACTTTGATGTCACAATCTGACTTAGTTTTCTTTCTCTTACTACTCAATATTTCATACATTTAGGCTTGCATCTTCTCGATAAACAACCTTTTTCCTCCATAATCACATCACTGGATTGTTAAGGGAGGAATGAAAATGGCAACTGATCACATCATGAGGATTTGATACCAGTTGTTTGCTGAATGTGCAGGGAGGACATTCAGCATCCCCATTTCACGCTGCGTAGTACTTTGACAAAAAAGTATCATATGCAATTATATCAATATGAATACACATTTACATTATTTCACGGCAAGAAAAACAGCTTATCTTGATGTTTTTAAAAGTGAAAAGTTACATAGTGTTACTTGAACGAATTACAAAATGTATTGTCTTTATTGTCTACTTTTAAGTTTAATGATTGCTCACTTCTATACAAGTTCAGATTTATATTCTCTGCAACAAGGAGGTTGCGTTTAACCCTTTAATGTTCACCTCTTGAACAAAGCAATGATTTATTTTTCTACGATGTAGGAACAATAGTAAAGAATAGTTTTTATTCCCCCCTATTTTTTAAATTATTGGCCTCTGACAAAATGTTTGAGATGCAGCTTGACAGAAAAAGTGCCTAAAGTATGTCATGCTTCAACACAGGAGTAAACCAAATCTTGGACTATTTGACTCTACCCTCTCATCATCGTGCTTCATCGTATACAGCAGAATCAATGATGCAATTAGGGATGACTGTAAAGCACTGAAGGTTTTATGGGAAAAAACCATGGGGGTTACATTTGGGGATGATGAATGGCTGAAAATTGCATCAGAAAATGAAAAATGCAAGAGAATGCAAAGGAAAATGTACACCATATAAGATACTAAATAGATATTACTGCACCCCAGTAAGATTGCATAGGTCGGGTCTGATGAACAATGCTTTGTGTTATGTCAGAATGATGCTGGTATCCTTATTCCTTGTCTATGGGAATGCCCAATTATTGAATGCTTTTGGCTGCAGGTCATACGTGTCCTGAGTGAATGGATTGGAACGACTGTACCGCTCTGCCCCAGACTGTGTTTACTGGGAGATAGAAGAAGGAAAAGTAATATATCAATAGAGGAATTCTCTCTTATTGTGGTCAGGGTTATTCCAAAACATTCCAAAACACCAAACGTCCCATAAATTAAGGAATGGTCAAATATGAATATGATTACTAAAATGGCCTTATATGAATGTATGTTAAAAAGGCTAAAGAATAGGGGTTGAGCTTGTGTTTTGTGATGGATTAATTGTCATTATTAGTGGTACCAATCTCTCCACAAAGAAATATCAGATTCCAAACTCTTCCTAAACTGGAGCTTGGAGCACCTGTGTCACAATAAACAACTGTTGGGGTCTGACAAGACAAGAGTTCCGTGCCATCGTCTGAATTGTTTTATTTAAATAAAATGAAGGCAAAGCTCTTGATTCACTACTCCCCACCCATGGCTGAAAGGACAATATTGCAGCTACACATTAACATTAAAGTTAAACAATGGCATAAAAGGAACAAAACTTGTGAGCACAATGTAAGACTCTAATATGCTATTGTAAATATTTTGTACTGTGTAATCTGTGTCTTTATAAAGATCTGTAAATGTGACGAGGTCAGCTGTTTGCTATATGACCTATGAACATGGCATCAGTTATTTGGAAAAATGCTTCTTGTTCTGTCCCTATCAAATAAATAGTGACTGTAAATAAATAGAGTGACTGGGCACTCCGTTACAGGCCACACTGTACTTCTCTAACACAGCCTACTTCTCCATTGCTTATAGATGGGGTGAGGAGCTCAGAGTTGAGCCGTTGTGTCTTTATGCTGAGAAGAGCCAGCTGAGGTGACAGACATCTTTTGGAGAACATGTGCATCGATAGAGAACTCAAGTCTCTGCTCGACTGCCCGTGAATGCTGACAACAGATAAAGCGGAAGAAAATGTGTGGATGGATGTAGATATAAATGGACTAAGGAAATATAAGAATAGGCCTGCATGTGTTTTCAAATTTTTTGTTGTTGTTACAAATCTTGGGACTTATATGGATGCACGTGAATAAAACAAATAAGTGCAGGGATGGACAATAAGCAATATAACAGCTGAACATCCCCGCACTGGAAGTAGGCTATGCAAAAACATGTCCGCGTCCAGTGTGATTGCATGTTGATTAATTAGTGCTGCAGAATGGACAGTTATTGTTCAGGGCCACGCTGGGTCACTAAAGGGCCCTTACATAGTAAGAAGCATGTCAGGAAGCACGGGCCTCATAACACTCATGCTGTCTTTCAGGCATGCTGAGTTAACGCGTCTCTGCTTCCCCCTGGTGGCCACTTTAATTGAATACAGGGGCACTAGAAGGACCCTCGTCTCCCACTTGTCTCTTTACAGCACAATGAGCAAGACAGATATGTGAATGCAGAGGACGGCTAAGTTGTTTTTTCTCAGTTGCTAATAATGTACGTGCGTTTTAAGTGCACTTGCTAACCATTTATTTGATCCTTTTATTGTAGGCCGAGCTTACCTGAAGTAACCACACGTGGGAAGCCATTGGAGAGGTAAGCTAATTATAGAACATTTAACCCCAAAAAGTTTTGAAGTGTGTCTGTCAGGGTGACATACTCAACTTAACTCAAAGTATTTCTATTTCAAAGTTTTCTGTAAATGTGAAGGTTCCCTTCCATACCATAGACATAAATATTAATTCCATACACAGTCGTTCACGCCGTACAGGCTTGGTCAGGTGACTTCGCACTGATGGGTGGCTATGCTAGCAGGTGGCCAGATTTGCATTAAGACACATTTGACCATTATACAATAAAAGTGCTTTTGGCAACCATTTGCATTATTGAGTTGATAACGTTTTGAGTATTTTCACATGGTTTTCACATTTTTGGCTGAAATAATGACACTACGAGGTGCGGGAGAGAAATAATAATACATAAAAAAGTTTGTGCCAAAGCTTGGTTTAATTCTGCATCTCATGTAATCACATAACTGATAACATTTATATTTTTCAAATTTTCCTCATAAACGGAACCTGGATTGGGGTACGGTATTGTCTCAGCATACAAAGTAAATTTTTGAACCCTAATTTATGCACTTTATGTCATAATCTCAGTTGAAGCACAACTGTTGCTTTAATCTATGTATTGAATTAATTATATTTGAGTCAAAACGAGACAAATAAATATTGTGTAATCTAGGCCTAACCTAGAAGGTGAGTCATGGGGTAGATCAGGAGTTCCCAAACTTTTCAGACAGGCGACTGAACAACGCATTTTACATAATATTGTCAGCATAATTAAATCCTTATAGTTATGCTGACAATAATTTGTAAAATGCGTTTTCATTTTCCCAGAAAATGTCTGTTTGGCAATTAAATAATACCTGATTGCACATACAAA